CCAAGTGCAGCTTCGTGGACGACAACCCGCTTCTCTCCTTCTCCTCCGTGAAGGTGAACTTCGCCTCACGCCTGCTCGGAACCAATGTCAAGAAGTATCCCATTCCTACCTCTCGCGCTCGTACGCATCTCTGGAAATCATGGAAAGCGAGCAAAGAATTCGATGCTATCACCGCGCGTTGGCTGGATGAGATTTTGTTACGTGCTGATCGTGTCCTCAAGCCCTATTGGCGCAACCGTGACTGGGGTCGGCTGGAAGTGGCCGGTGACTACCTTGAGGCACGAGCCGATACGGTGCTGGCGCGTGTCGATATTGACCCGGAGATCAGCTCGTGGACGCCCATCGCCTTCAAGATTGCGGATTTGTCGAGTTTCGGCGTGGGCGGAGAATCTCGTATCAACACCCGAACTCTGTCGACGCAGATGCAGGACACGGACACGGAGCTTCATGTTCTCGCCATGGATACCGGCACGTGGCCCAACGAGCCCGGTGGTGTTTCCGCCTGCAGGCGAGATATGGTCAACGACCTGAAGGGAATCCGCTGGCACATTCTGGCCGAAGCCGCCAACGACTTTGGTGTGCCGCGGTTCCAGATCGAGCGAAACGTGCAATCACTGACGGTCTTGCCGCAATGGGGTCTTGACTTCCTGAACCCGACGCATGGCATGTTCCAGAACTACCTCGATTCAGAAGTGGTCCAGAAGATCCATGACACCAAGGTTGCGGACATCGAGCGGAACTTTATTCCTATTCTAGCCAGCCTGGTTCGTTGTGCTCGGTCAATCAACAAGACGCGTGCACATGTTGAAGAAGCCACGAAAGCCTTGGTCGACCTGAACACGTACTTTGAGTCCTCGCGCAACTGGAACGATGTTTGGATGAGTGACACTGTCAAGCGCGCTTGGCGTGAGCTTTGGCTGACTGAGGAAATGGACGGTGCTATTCCTGTCTCTCAATGGTGGCATGCCGAGCTGCCGACTCTACAGCAGCTCGATACAGCCCTCGACATGTGGCATCGCTGTAAGTAATCTTCTGGTTGTCCTCAAACACACAAATGACTAACTCGTCTTCTCAGATCTTTTCATCTTCTCCGTCCCTGTCCCCGACCGGATTCCGGACGTGTTCCAAGCATCGCACCATTTCACGGGTGCCAACTACGGTGTGCTCTGCAAGGTCAAGCGCAAGTGCGCACTTCACGTCTGGGATCACTGCGTCAGTTTTCGTGAGATGACTACCTTCCTTTCTGCGGCTGTGTCCTTCGACTCTACCTTTGTCAATTCCACCCTCATCTCCCTCGGTCATCTGTCCTGCGTTCTCATCGAGCATCATGCGGACGTTGTCCTCCCGTGTGCGGAGTACTTCAACCCCGGATGGGAGGTTGAGTTGGGAACGTGTGAGGGTGTCCTGGAGCATCGCCGGGCATTTGCACGCAAGATCGATCCGGTGGTCAACGGTATCACGAACATGGAGCGATACAAGCCGATCGAGAAGATCAAGACGGAGACACCCACCGTCGTCATGTTGTCGCATATTCGGTAAGTCTTCGCTGCACGCATATGGCATTAGGATCATGCTAACGCGCCATGCAGTTACGTCAAGGATATCAAGACGGCCATCATGGCAACGGACTTGATTGTCAACCAATGGGGCTTCAAGGACTATCGCCTGCATATCTACGGAGATATGGAGCGTGCGCCCGGTTACGCCTCTGAATGTCAAGAAGTCATTGCATCGAAGTCCCTGCGCGACCACGTCGTGTTGAAGGGTCTGGGCAAGCCAGATGTGGTGCTACAGGATGCTGTGAGTATTTTCCATCGCGAAAGCCTTTGACCTCCCAAAGAATGTCACTAATCGTTCATTCCAGTGGCTGTTTATGAACTCGTCGACCTCGGAAGGTCTACCGCTCGCCATGGGTGAGGCCGCCTTGACCGGAGCGCCCGTGGTGTGTACCGACGTCGGCGCGTCATTTTGTGTGGTCGTCAACCGCGAGACCGGCAAACGATTCAGCGAGGTCGTCCCCCCGAACGACGCCTTCTCTCTGGCGTCCGCCCAGATCCGCGTAATGGCCCTGCTCGGCGAGTGGAGTCAGTTCGCCGGAGACCCGGAGGGCTTTGTTCCCCCGACGCTGGGTCTGCGCCCATCCCCTGAGGAAGTGCAGGAGATCTCGAAGCGCATGTACGCCAAGCAGGAGGAGCGCCGCAAGTTCGGTATGCAGGGCCGCGACAACGTCCTGGCCAGCTTCTCCAGCCATCGATACCTGCGCGAACACGAGCAGATGCTGTGGCTGGGCAAGTACCAGAGTCTCAGCTACTTCGCCCACGGCCCGGCCTCGATGAGTGGCTCGTCCAGTGGGTTCTTCAAGGACACCAAGGGCCGAGTGACCGTCGAGCAGGTCGGGGATGCCCTGCTGCCGCCCATGCCTCCGTGGATGGGCGGTTCCCGCCGGACTCGCGGCAAGCGCTTTGAGAGGTTCAGTTCGACTAGCACGCAGTCCCTCGCTTAGGTGGTTTTTTTTTTTGCGTTACATTGTTTGCGTCACATTGCATCACGACGGATGGATTCCATGATTGCGCTTGGTTTAGGTAGTTTTGGAGATTTGTAAATACGGACCATCTATACGGTTCTGGTCTTAATTAGCATAATCATAATTTCCGATTGGGTATCTAACAGGATCCCTCGTGACGAGAACCTAGCTCTCTTGCCTTGTATTGACCACGTTATTCTGAAGTACGGCTGGAGACTTGAAAGCGGGGGCAGAGTCGGTGATTACGCCATCGGTGGAAATTTGAGCTTTGTAGGGGCGAGTATCTAGTTGTTCATGTATTTTACACGATCGCATATCAATTCGCCGGGCACTGTCTCTTGCTCGTTTTCGTTCTGCCTACTCGATCGGCCGATACGAGGGCTGGATGGCAGATACTGCATGGCCTCGTTCCGAGTTGCGTGACAGAATCCGACGGGCTGATCGATTGATTTTCAAGCCTGCGATGGTCATGAGCGGCGTAGCTTGACTACCCACCCAATGTGGGTGGTGAGTGACTCTTTTCAGTCATCTGGCATGAGTGTGGTCTAATTGAGCTTGTGCCTCATGCGATCATAGTTCACCACTGACTCCAGCAGCGTTTGCGTTCCAAGGACACTATAGGATATCAGTCGAGTCCGAATTGACCGAAACATAGAAAATTCTCAGCAACCGGCACTTACCAGTCCTCGGGCTTGCAGTACTCCTCCGGATGGTGGCTGACACCCTCCTTACAAGGTACGAAGATCATCGCCGTGGGGCAGTGTCGGCTCGTGTAGACGCTGTCATGGCCCGCGCCACTGGTGATCTCCAGCCAGCCGTCGGCGCCGACGAGCTGCGTCGCCGCCTCCTTGACGGCCGTCAGACAGTGGGCATCGAACTGCACGGCGGGCGAATCGGTATCCAGCGTCCACTCGAAGGACACGCCCTTGCCGTCCTCGCGCGCGAGCTCGTTGAAGGCGTCCAGACATTCGTCCTGCACGGCATGCACGACGTGGTCGCGCGGGTGCCGGATGTCCAGCGTGAAGGTCACCTCCGCGGCGACGGTGTTCGTGGACGAGGTCGGCGGCAACTTCAGCACCCCCGTCGATGCCAGCGCCCCGTGTCGCTTGGCCACGGCGTTCGACGCGGCGATCATCTTCGCGGCCGCGAGGAGCGGGTCGCGCCGCGCACTGAGCGGCGTCGTGCCCGTGTGTGCGTCGCGGCCGGCCACCTTGATCGTCAGCCACCGGTATCCCTGTGCTCCGGTGACGGCTCCGATCTTCCGGCTGGCTTCCTCCAGGATGGGGCCCTGTTCGATGTGCAGCTCGAAGTGTGCCCCTAGTGGGTAGCCTGTGGGCGAGCAGGGGGTGTCGCCCAGGAAGCCATGGCGCTCCAGTTCGGAGTGCAGTGTCACGGATGGGTCGAAGATATCTGCGAGTTTCCAGGCGCTCTCGACGGGGATCTCGCCGGCCCAGACGCCGGAGGAGCACATGGATTTCGGGAACCGGGCCCCCTCCTCGCTGTCATGCGTCAGAGAGAGGGTATTCCCCTTGTGATTTGCTGTACTCACTTGGTCCAGTTCACCAGTCCGACATCGAATTGTGTTCGGTAGCCCTGGTCTTTCATCGTGCGCAGCACTTCTAATGCGGCGATGACGCCCAGAATGCCATCGTACCGGCCCCCGCGCGGTTGCGTGTCGAGGTGACTGCCCATTGCCGTCATGGGAGCCGGGGAGTTGAGAGACCCGCGTTGTCGCGCGAACATGTTGCCCATCTGGTCGATCGTGACGATGCAGTCCAGCTTCTCGGCTTCATCCAGCAGCCACCGGCGGACTCGAGCATCGTCATCTGTCAGGCATAGTCGGTTCATGCCGGTTTCCGTTGGTCCGCTGTAATCAGGGTCAGGCTTTGGGTGTCCATTGCGAGATTGAGATCATACTCACTCGCCATATCGATGGGCTGCGCCCCATTGACAGGTGTGATGGAGAGTTTCCAGCAGGCGGTTGGGATTGATTTTCAAGCCGGATCCGGCGTGCGATGACAGCTGCCGCCGGAAGCTCGTCGCGGTCAACCCACGAGAAATTGAGGGTTTGAACATGATCGTGGTGGAAAGGAACGACGTCGTATGGGGTTTCAACTTCACTGCGCCGCCAATGGCTAGTGAGATAGTGAGTTGGTGGAGGCAGGATGGCTTCAAATACTGTAAGCCGATCGCCGACCGTGGAACAATTGCGCCCTCCCGCGACCTGCGCCTTCTTGCGACAATCCGCTTCTCCTGCACATACCCACACAACTTGTGGAGATCGAGAGGAACGAGGAGAAGAAAAAAAAATCTAAATGAGAGTGGCCTCTTTTCCAATGGAGCCGAAGGGTTCAACGCCGAGGAAACATGTCGTCAAAAGGCGCGCCGAAGCATTTATTAGAAGCCAATAACCGCCGCCTCGGATCAAGCCCGAACGAACCCACGAACCCTTGCAACTGAACTGCACTTTATCATCATGACTCCTCAACGGCGATCCATCTACATCAGCTCTGCTCCTTCGACAATAGTGTCGCCTCCCGTGGCCCAAGTCCGCACTTTTCATGAGCAGTTCCCCGGATATCAGGCCAGTCCTCTAGTGCCTTTGCCCGAAGTCGCGCAGGAACTCGGCGTCCGTGCGGTGTATGTCAAACAAGAAAACAATCGTTATGGCCTACCATCCTTCAAAGTATTGGGAGCCTCATGGGCCATTTACCGGGCGCTTCTGGCGCTCTTGGACCTGCCCCTTGAGACGTCCTTAGAAACCCTCACGGAGCGCATCCGGGCGGGTGAGCCTTTCACATTAATGGCCGCCACGGAGGGAAATCACGGTCGCGCAGTGGCTTGGGTGGCCCGTCAACTATCTCTACAGGCGCGCATCTATGTCCCTCGCACGATGGTTGCGTACACCCAGGAGATGATCCGGTCGGAGGGCGCGGATGTCATCGTTGCCAATGGGGACTATGACTATGCCGTGCTGGAGGCCGCCAAGGCATCTCAAGCGACAAAAAATGCAATCCTAGTACAAGACACGGCTTTTGATGGCTATGAGGAAATCCCATCCTGGATTGTAGAAGGCTACTCCACGTTGATGCACGAGGTGGATGTGCAGCTACAAGCGCTGGGTCAGCAGAATACTCTTGTTGTGTCACCTGCGGGAGTCGGATCGTTGGCTCAAGCGGTCGCGATTTATTCCAAGTCGCGCACAAGCCCGGCGACTTTTGTGGCTGTCGAGCCAGATACCGCTGCTTGTCTGAACCTGAGCCTTATAACAGGAGAGTCGACCTCGATCGTCACTAGTCCCAGTATCATGGCCGGCATGAATTGCGGCACTGTGTCCTCCGCCGCCTGGCCGGTTCTCCAGAAGCTTGTCGACGCCAGTGTCACAATCTCGGATTATGAGAGCCATCGCGCCGTTCAGTACCTTGCGTCAAACGGAGTAGACTCGGGTCCGTGCGGTGCGGCTAGTTTAGCAGCCATTCGGCGCCTCAAAGCAGAGCACGATTCCTCTGCGTACTTTTCCTCGGACTCGGTGATTGTACTGCTGAGCACTGAGGGTCATCGTCCCTACCAAGTCCCTGAAGATGTCTCGTCAGATGACCCGATTGTCTTGACCCAGACCCTTACACGGATTGACTCCTCCAACCCAACATTGTCCAAGGCCAAGGGAGCGGGCGAGACAGATGTAGTCAACTACCTGTCGGCGTGGTTTGCGCACCGTGGCATCGAGCATCATCGCGTGGAAACCAAGCCAGGCCGTCCTTCCGTGGTCGGCATCGTCAGGGGAACTGGAGGTGGGAAATCGTTGATGTTCAACGGCCACGTGGATACCGTGACCTTGAGCACGTATGAAGGAAACGGACTGAGTGGACATCTCGGGGAGAAGGATGGCAAACAGGCGATCTTCGGTCGAGGGACGCTTGACATGAAAGCCGGAGTCGCCGCAGGACTGGCTGCATTGGCGAGCGCCCAGCGGTCAAGGCTTGCCGGAGATGTGATCGTCACTGCTGTGGCGGATGAGGAGGATGCCTCGCAAGGCACGATGGATGTGATCGAAGCTGGATGGAGAGCCGACGGGGCGGTGGTGCTGGAGCCCACTAATTTAAGGCTAGCACATGCTCACAAGGGATTTGTGTGGGTAGAGTTGGAAGTGCAAGGACGCGCAGCGCATGGCTCGAACCCTGCGGCCGGTGTTGATGCGATTATGAACATGGGGTTGTTGCTGCAAGCCTTGAAGCAGTATCAGCAGCAATTGCCGGTTGACGAGGTGCTTGGTCAGGCATCGCTTCACTGTGGAGTCATCAACGGTGGGGATGAGGTATCCTCGTATCCTGCCAGCTGTACATTGACCGTCGAGTTCCGAACTGTGCCCGCACAGACAGAGGAGATCATTCTGAATGAACTGCGAGACCTGCTTACTCGGATCAAAACGCAGGATTCCGAGTTCCAGTTCAGCGAGCCTCGCATCACTTTCTCGCGCCCGTGCCAGTACCTCCCTGAGAGTCACCCCCTGGTGCAGCAGGTGGTTGAGATCAGCAAGGAGGTTCTCGAAGAACCTGTCCCAGTGGTCAGTGTGCCGTTTTGGTGCGATGCTGCTCTTCTGACACAAGCGGGAATTCCCAGCATTGTCTTGGGACCGGTGGGCGAGGGATTGCATGCCAAAGAAGAATGGGTAGAGGTGAACAGTGCACGACAACTGACTGAGATGCTTGAGAAGTTGAGTAGAGAATTCTGCCAATGAGCTTGAATGTATCATAGATCACTTAGGACTGAGGGAAGCTGCCATGCATGTTGATGCTCTCGCATGTTGTGTGTTGTGAAGATAAAGTGTCTGTGTTGGAGATGATAGATAGATAGTCGACTCTGATCTGGTGCCTGAGGCATGAAGAGCGTGCCAGACCCCGTGCATTAATTAGTCAGCTCAACATAGTGGGGGCAACGGCGGGGCAGTTTGGGTGGGGTATATCTAGCCAGGTACGACAGGCGGTGAGCATACCACCGCCTTAATCTGCCGCTCGGCGTTGATGACTGCCACCCACTTTCTCTCTCTCTCTCTCTCTTTCCTTCCTCTCTTCTGCAATTGATCCACTTTCAACTTCGTCGCGTCTCGTTCCTAACGATCGAGACTACTACTATACTATCCTGGATGTAATCTCATCTGCTTGGCTGCCGCTCTGCGATGGACGATTTTTTCCCGTTTGATGACCAGCTTCTGTCCCCATCCTTCGAGAATCTTCTCGATGAGACCAACCAGTTTCTTGATCAGTCCCCTGGCTCAGGCGCATCGTCCTGGAACCTCGCTCCTTCACCAGAAACCAGTAGTAGCTTTTTAGAATGGCAACCGTCGGACAATGCAGCGTCTTTCACGCTTCCTATCGATCACTCATCGCTCGACTATCCTCCCCAGCCAAGTGATTTGCCTGACGTGCTCTCCACCAACAATCTCTCGCAGCACGACACACTCGCGCCCTTTTATTACCCACTTGCTGCAGACCCTTCCCTCCCAATTCATCCAACCCGTCTCGATGACGGCTTCGTTAGTGTCTCCCAGTGGCTGGACGGTGCCTATCGACCCCCCGTGCCCTGCAGCTACTGCCAACGTCACCGACTACAATGTCTAATTCTGCGCACCACTTCCGCGAACCCCAATCCGGTCACGTCATGTTCCAGCTGTGTCGCACTTTATCGAGAGTGCAGCCTCGCACAAGGCGAGAAGCGCCAGGCTGCAGGATTCGAAACCATCTCCCCAGTTTTCGGCCATCTGCACGGCCTCACGGAAGAGCACGACGGAGGACTTGCTCCCTCAGAGCCTGGATTAGAAGTATCAGCAAGACAGGCGGACAATGCTACTCAGGCTGAGACACAAGTGAGGCCGCGCTTCTCGCGCAAGGGAGCAAAAATCCTGCGCGACTGGTTCTATCGCTATCAGCACTTTCCCTACCCGACCGATGAACAACGCGCCGAGTTTGCCAGTCAGACCGGCTTCACCGAGCGACAGATCTCAAATTGGTTTGCCAATGCCCGCCGACGCCGGAAGATGGCGTTACGCACGCCGCGGCCCAACCCCGCCACGCCCTCGCCTCGCGGCAGTTCCCCCATGCCTATTTCGAGGCACGCATCTTTGACACCTATGGAGCGATGGCAGAAGTCTCCTCCCGACCAAGATCCAGTCCCGCAAGCCATCATTGAGAAGGCCATCGCCACTTCGAACCTTCCCCCAGCAGCAGGAGCTGAACTCAGCCGAGGCGAGCGCGTGGAGGCGAGCCATCGCGGCGACGGCCATGCTTACTCGGTCTCGAGTTTGGAAAGCGGACAGTTGGAGAGTGCGCGATCCCAAGCATCGTCTGACACGGCATCTTCAGCGGCTTGGAGCCACAACTCGGATGATTATTTCCCATTCCCGCTGTCTGATAGCCGTCGACGCCGACAGCATTCTCGACGCAGGCCCTCATCCACCCACTCACTTGACGATCATCAATACCAATGCACGTTTTGCCCTCGATCCTTCAAGAAAAAGCACGATTGGTGCCGCCATGAGTCAAGTATGCACCTCTGTCTTGAGTCGTGGTTCTGCACTGTTGATACAACTACACCTGTTGATCTAGAGCCCGTGGAATGTGAGTTTTGCGAAACTCCACGGCCCTCGCCTGCGCACCTCGAGTCACACGAATTCGACGTCTGCGCGGATCGACCGCCGAGCGAGCGAACATTCGCGCGCAAAGACCATCTGATCCAGCATCTCCGGAAGTTCCACCGGTGCACCAAGGTGCCTGCAGCGAGGGTCCAGGGGTGTCGCTCCACTCGCACCGCTGTGACGAGTCGGTGTGGGTTCTGCGACGCGGAGATGCAGAGTTGGACTGAGCGGGCGGATCATCTGGCGGATCACTTCAAGAAGGGCCTGCGATTGAGTCAGTGGACGGGCGGATGGGGACTGGATGCTACATCGCTGGCAATGCTGAGAGATGCTACCTTGCCGGCTCAGCGAGTGTCCGGGTCGTGATGGCTATGTTCATTCGTTGGAATTGACAAACTCCGCAACCTTGCGCCATGAATTCTGCGGGAGTCACCAATACGTCGGCGGTGTAACGGCCGGACAGTATTGCTTGGATCATCCATTGACATGGGCGCGTTGTGGGTCATTAGAGCTCTGAAACTCTCGATGCCTGATCATGGCCGACTCTCCACGTGCCTCCGACCGGCGTAGCAGCAGTGCAGTGCCCTGAATCCTCTGCTCCATAGAGTCGACACCACTTAGACAAGGATCCTTCCGGACATAAACCCTGGACACTCCTGTTGAACAAAGTGCCGCCCACAAGCAACGCAGCCTATGAATGTAGATAGTCGTCAGCTACATGATCGGTGCCTGATGCCTATCCCTTGCCATCATGATCTACCTATCTATACACAGTACACATATATATAATGGGAATGAGGCTTGTCATTCAGTCACTAGGCATAAATACCTTGTATACCGGCGTGGAGCCGCATAATCTGCCTCATTTGACCACTTTTAGTCATACATGATGTGTACTGTACAACAAAAGATCTCACGCAACCCCTCCAAGAAAACCCAAGAACCCGTCCCGCATAGCCATCCTGAATGTCCTTTGATCATCATTCACACAAAATAAAAGCACTATACAGTGATTTCAGTTACATCATTTTGAAATGTTACTTATTATATACACATATTTATATATAGTTTCACACTTATCTACAGAGGAAGGATAATGTGACAAGGGTAGGTAAGTAAGCGGATCAGTCCCGGAGGCTACCAACGCAGCCATTTATATCCCCGGGAACTGCGGAAAACATGCTTTCTAGACCGTGTACATCTAGACTTGTTTGGGGGGGAGGGGAATACTAGTATCGTGTATCATGTCCAATGATTAGGTAATCTTCATAACTTTCTTAAGCACGCTCAGGGAGACGGGCTTGACAAGGTACTCGTCCACTCCTGCGGCCAGCGCCTCTTGCTGCTGGTCCGCCGAGCCGAGACCGGTGACCGCGATGATGCGGGTGGGGATGAGGCCCATTTGCTTCTCGTATTGACGGATTTGCTCGGTTGAAGTGATGCCGTCCATCACAGGCATGGAGATATCTGTGCGCTTGGTCAGTCTCAACTGTCGCTTGGTGATTGCAAAAGGGGGAGGCACTAACCCATGAGGACAAGATCGTGGCGACGGGTGCCGTCTTTGTAGGTATTGAGGGCGATCAGACCGTTGGAGGCCGTGTCGTAGCTGCAGCCTAGCTTGCGAATGAAAGTGGACAGAATCTTCGGCGGTGGTTAGCATCGAATGAACCACAAGAGGGAGGACCAAACTCACCTTAAGGTTGATATCATTATCGTCCACAATGAGTACATGTACATCCTTCAGAGGTTTGGTGGGGACGGAAGAAGAGGACGGCGACTGGTGGGTATCGAGTGGTGCTGTTGATGCCGGTGGCATGCTTTGGAAAAGATCAGGAGTAGGGGAAAGTGTAGGATCCACCGTTGGGGGAGACAGCGGGGTTTGGCACGGGGTCGGGTTCTTGATGTATTCGTAGTATAGAAGGAGGATACGATTGAGCACTTCGTCAATTTTTCGAGGTCCGAGCCTGAGTGGATGTTAGTGGGAATTACAACTGATGGTGATAGCAGCCAGGACTTACGGTTGTGAGACGCGAATCATGTTCGGTGCCATAGTATCCCGTATCAGATCCTGATTGCTGTCCAAGACGAGGTAAAATTTGAACCCGCCTGGAGCGCCCGTTGTTGGCTGTAAATTGCCGGCCGCCATAGCCTTACTGAGGGTTTCCTCCTCGATCACGACAACTTCGCCGTTTGCGTCGGCTAGCGACTCGGCCTGGGTCAGAGTCCAGCCAGGCTGCTTGAGTAGCACCGAGATCAGTGAGCTGCGGATTGCCAGCTTGCGCTTGGCTTCGGCTGGTAGAATCCCAGTCGGCACCTCTCGAGGATGTGGATAGCTGTCAAAGCCAACAAGGGAGAACCTCATTGGAGCTGCTGGCACAGCAGGTGGTGATACTAGCCCTGCGCCCGGTGTTGGACCTCCATTGCCTGAAGCCAATAGACGCACAGGGATGTAAATATCCACCTGAGTCCCAATACCCAATTCACTGCGCACATTGATGTGGCCATCGAGCGAGGAGACCAATTGCCGAACGATGCTGAAACCCAGACCCAGACCCTCTGAAAGGGTATCTTCCTGCGCAAACGGTGAAAACAGCTTGTGCTTCAAAAAGTCGGGGGCGATACCACGGCCAGTGTCGGTAACAGTAAGATGGGCAAAGACCGACTGGGGATCGGATTTGCGCCGCGCCTTGGAAAGTGATACCTCGATGAAACCCGTCTTGGTCCATTTCAGGGAGTTTCCAAGGAGATTCATGACAATACGCCGCCAAGCCCCGGCTACGGATTGCACCGTCCACGCCTGTCGGTCTTGCACCCGCACCACCACCGTCAGCTCTCCATCCTTGAGTGCCGCGTTGGACGGCGTATGCATGAGGCGTCGGGTGAGCGGGTTGATTGTCCGACCCAGGCGCTGACCAGTATACTGCACATCGGTCACTTCTTCGATCAGATCATCGAGGTCGAAAACGGTCATCAGGTTGACCGGCGACGAGTTGGAAGATTTGTCAACCGCGGCCTCTTCTCCAGTCGTCAAGTTGTTGATTTTAGCAAAATCAAGGCTGCAGTCATTAGTAGCGTGCTCGATTTGTTACAAGTGCGGGAGGTTAAAATCCACTTACAGATGGTTCAATGTATCAAGCAGAGTCAAGCCGCAGCTCTGGACCATACTCATCCAATGCGATTGAGAGGGATCCAGCGGGCTCGTTTGCAGCAGCTCCGCACTAGCTAAGATACCATGCAATGGGGACCGTAATTCATGGCTCACCGAGGAGATGAAGGCGGACTTGGATCGCTGAATGGTGGCCCAATCCACCCGCGCCACCTCGGATATGATGGAATCGCCGAAGACCTTAAAATAATGCAGCTCTTCCATGTCTAGTGCGCGATCACTGCCTTGTGTCCAAACAAGCGTTCCAGCCAGCCAGCGCGAGCGGTTCCAATCCCATAGCGGGTAGAAGAGCACGCAGTATGCGTCGGGGAAACACTGTCTCAATTCATGGCACAGGGCTGCGACGTTCGTCCGTTGTACATCGGAGGATGGATCAGACGACTCATCCGAGGGCGTGACGGGATTGGATTGTGTCAACGGCGTGGGAGAGGCGATGTCATCGTGGAGATTGATAAACTGACCATGTGGGTATGCGGCCACAAGACGATTTAACAGATCCTCAGTCACTGGGTTCGGGTCGACAGATGGGGCAGCCAAGGGATGGCGCGACTCCCCTAGAACATCGCAGGGTCTCTCCGAAGCCTTGGAAAGCGAGCCTACGCCAGGCAGGTCCACTGGGCTCGGATACGGATCGGCGAGAAACTCCGGGTTGGCGGTTGTCGGGAGGGGTTCCCAGGAACCTGAATGACCTGGACGGACGCTGTAGCTGCATTAGCCTATCACATTTCATACCATCGAAAGATCAATACTCACACTCCAGAATTGCTCCGAGAGGCATCCAAGAACATCACACCATCCAAGTCCATCGAGTCGCGCAATGTGGCACTGGCTCGAGCAAAAATGCGGGCCAGGTTATCCGAGATACTCGTCGGGGGGCGCACCGACACGGCTGGAAACTCTGAACGGTCGGATGCTCCGAGAATCGTGTCCCGAGTATCACACGGCTCATCATCACCACCCGCATTCGTGGAGCGCGTGGCCAGGTTGACCGAGGTTGTTGCAGTACTTTGTTCGGAGCAAGTGACGGCAGAGAAGAGCGAGGTTAGCTCCCCAGTCAGCTCAGAAGCCGTGGAGGGACGGCCTGTCGGTGGCTCCGAGGGTTCAGGAGAAGTGTCGGTCTCAATCCAAGGCGGCGCTTCGGAATCGGTAGTGGAGGGTGGTGAGTCAGTGGGCACAGTCACCGGGGGCACTTCGGTCGGGTCGAAATCCGAGTGACCCTTGACAAAGCTCGTCAAGCCTTTGACGAGACTTTCGGCGCGGCGATGATAGTGGGCGATCCGGACATGCTCCAGATGGCCGGAAATGGCGTCGGCGATCTCTCGGAGGGTGGCGATATCGGCATCCCCGAAGTGATCGCGCGGGTGATCGTCCACGATGCAGAAGGAGCCGAGCACGTAGCCAGCGGGGCTGTAAATGGGGACCTCGGCGTAGAAACGAAAGTGCGGCCAGCCGACGACGTAAGGGCGATCCTTGTAGAAGTCTTCCTTGGTGAAATCTCGAACAATGAAGCGGGATAGATTGGCGGTCAGATTGGGGGAATCAACGATCTTGGAGGCATCTTGGCCGGTGAACAGGGCCATGGAATGAGGGCAGACGCCCCAAATCAGATCGAGTGTGCGTACTCCCAGGTAGATCCCATCGCCCGGGTCGTGTTTGTCCTTGTCACGCAACGAGATGGATTTGGTGGCTTCGGCGACAATGTACTGGTTCACTCCGTCAATAATAGAGACATAGGAACGGTTGCATCCAAAGCGGTATACGCCCAACTGAGCCAGTGCCGTGAGGGTTATATCAGAGGACAGACGAGCCTCTGGCAGAACATCGTCCTCAGGAATATCAACGTTAGGATCTTGTTGATCGGCGTTGTGGCCGGGTACCAATCGGAGGACGGGTTGATCGACGGTACAATAGTATCTGTTCGGGTTGGAATCGAGAGGATCAGCGCGAGTCACGTTGGGTTGATAGTAGGGGTTGTACATTGGAGCAAGCGAACGGAGGTACCTGGATAGATCACGAATGCGCTCTCGCTCGGCCTCCGGGTGTTGCAAGGACGCTGCCATCGCGCACACAGCCCGTTTCACATCGCCTTCCTCGCAAGGGCGGAGAGAAACGAGCGGCGGAGGAGGCGAGGGTGTAGCGATGACCCCGATCCGATCAAGTCAGAGGGTTGGAAGTCAACGAAAGATAAAAAATGAGAAATTGGAGGCGGGGCGAGGGGGGAGGAGGGAGAGAGGGAGAGGGAGAGACGAAACAGGACCGCAACAACAGAAGGCTGACAGGAAGCGTGACCAGAAGAGGAGAGGAGGGAGTAGTCCGAAAGAAAAGAGGTTGATGTTGATAGAGACGACCAAGGTAGTGAGTGCCTGGCAGAAAGTTACAAAGAATGGGTGAAAGAATGAAGAATAAGTTGCTAGTTCCTAGTGGACCAAGCAAAGAAGCTGAGTCAGGTCACCAAGATGCAAATGAACCAAATGAACCAAATGGAAGAAAGAGGCGAAAGCTTCTGAGGGTAGTAGCGGAGGGAGAGAGAGAGAGAGAGAGCGAGAGAGCGAGAGAGAGAGAGAGAACAGGAAGTAAGCGAAGGAGCCTGAGGCCACCAGAAGATTCAAACCTGTTGTATGTTGCAGTCTCAGCTTTCACAGTCAGTCAGTCTCAAGCTTGAAAGTGTCAGAGAATCTTGTTTGAAGACCACCGGCAGAATCTGGGTCACCGCCCTGGCAGTCTCTTGGTTTTGTGTCTGCCGCCCGGCGAGATTGGCGCTCTCATTGGGCGAGGTCATTCTGGCCGAGAAATCTAGACCGGGTCGGAAGTTGGAGGCGAACGGACTCGTGGCTGGATGAGGTTAGTCGTGCGTTAAGTCACGTTAGTCACGTTAGTCTCACCGTTGGGCACGCATTTTACTGGTTTGCCTGGTTTTGCCCGGTTGCCGCACCCGCCAATCACCACCCACTTTTTGGCTTCGATCCAGGTCTAGTCATCTGGGGAGCCTCAGGCCACAACTGAGCTCTGTAGGCTCTAGCAGTGTCTGGCAGTGTCTGCTCATTTCTCTGGCACTCACTTTTCTACTCCTAGTACTCCGTACTCAGTACAGTGTCGAGGTCAGCTGATCGGATGCCTCAGGCTGAAGTTCCCACCCTCTTCTACAAGTAAGGTATTCCAGTCACTGTCAGTGTTGCGGAACCTTAATCGGGCAAGCCACCGGCAAGCCACAATGATGTCATCTCCGACAAGCCTTCAGTTGCTGGTCTGAGGGGGCCTCAGGCCACCAGGCCAGGCATCAACATCTGACTAGTAGTACCTGTTAACTTACCTGTTGTTGCGTCTCAGCACAACTACATCAACATCGTACTGTAGTACTACCCATTACTACATTGTCACGTCGGGCTATATCTCAACACATTTGACCTTGCCGATTTCTTGACCGTGCCTCAATGACTACCTCATGTTCACACTTCAAATCATAGAATGTCTGAGTGAGCTCCGGCTCGTATCGACTCCTCCCACTGGGGCACGGAGCCTCGCCCTCAAATCAGAAGTTACTCCCAACGCGAATTTCCAGATCGAGCATGGGCCTCCAAAACCTATATGTATTCCACGCTGTGCAGTACAGTACAATTCCTCTCCCTCGACATCTTCTCCACTTCACATTAACAGAATGTTGATTGATAATCCAGCCAGCATCAGTCACGCCATCTGATAGCAACTTTCGATTTCTAATCATTTTGCGGCAGAGTGGTCTCCCCGCATTCTACGGAGTATATATTTGGTGCTGCAAAAGAGCCCTGAGGTCACACCCCAGACATATACATCTATGTACATGTACACCTGACTGGCATCATGTCGACTCGTACTGCGATCATCGGTCTCTCGGCCACCGCCACGACCTCCTGGGCGGCCAATGCGCATTTGCCGGGTCTGCGCCGGTCTTCGCGGTTCCAGATCGCCGCGCTCTGTAATAGTAGCCGGTCGGCCGCCGAAGCCGCCATCGCCGAATACCAGTTGGATGTCAATAGCGTCACGCCCTATGGCAGTCCGGGCGATCTGGCCGCGAATCGCACGATCGATCTCGTGATTTGCAGCACGCGAGTCGATCGGCACTATGAGACCGCGTTGCCTATGATTCAGGCGGGCAAATCGACCTACATTGAGTGGCCCATTGCCAGCAGTCCGACCCACCTCGATGAGCTTCTCGCCGCCCGCCGCCGCAGTGGTGCTCAAGTCGCGGTGGGGCTCCAGAGTCGCTTTGCACCCCCCGTGCGTCGGATCCGAGACCTACTCCAGTCGGGCTCACTGGGTCGTTTGCTGAATACGGAGGTACGCGCTTTTGGGGGCACCCTGGATCGTGAGTTCCTCCCGCCCGGGTTGGTATATTTCGCCCAGCGGTCGGTCGGCGGGAATCCCATCACGATCGGCTTCGCTCATGGTATGTAACCCTAAAAAGAGTCCCCCACCAGCACCGGCACCAGCACCGGCACCAGCACCAGCCCTCCATGCTAAGTAGACACAGTCATCGACTTTGTGCAATCCGTGGTCGGGGATGTGATCCCTGAGACCGACCATATTCAATTCCAGCTTCAGCGCCCGAGCATTCGTGTGCGCGATCCCACCACAGGATCGATCGTGGAGACCATCCGCTCCGATGTGCCTGATCTCGTCAGCCTCCATGGTAAGTGGCGCATTTTAAAACATGGAACCATTCCCATCCCAGGGTCTCACTAACCTCCATAGGACACTTGCCGGAATCAGCCCACGTGGCACCCCAAGCTAGTCTGGTCGCCTACTTCAGTCGAGGCCAACCCTACCCTGGGGACCCACAGCTTACATGGACCTTGACCTTCGAGCACGGCGCGGTTCGTCTCATCTCCCCCGCGGGCATTGTGCTGGGTGCAACCACCTATGCGGAGCCTGTGACCATTTCTGTGCATCGCTTCGACACAGGTGAAGTGGAATCAGTCCCGTGGGCGTGGTCGCCGGAGCAGGAAGAGCTACCCTTCAGTGCACGCTCCGTCCACAGCTGCTTGGTGAGCTTGGCTGAAGGAGATGCTGATGGTTATGTATCACTGGAACAGGCAGCTGTGCGGGCGCGGCAGATTGCACGCTGGCTTGACTCGTTTCCGGTAAGATGATGTGTGAGAAAGGGGGAAGGGAGCGTAGATGCGCGGATCCCATCGGATGTTAGATCGCGGTGTGTATTGATGTCAATATGTTCTTCTAAGTCTATCGACACTTGTCCCAAACAATCAGAGCCTTGACTGAGGATGAAAGCCTCACTAATGGTGATAAGGGAAGGCCGTCAAATGTGGAAAGTGGCGGTTTTAGCCTGGGGTCAGTGGCGCTCGTGTCGGAGTTGGAGGAGGCCGAACACCTTGTGGGGGCCTTCAGCCCGACATGGCCTTTCACCTTCGATCCATCACCCTTGGTGCCACCATAGGGTATATGTTCCTGCAGGATAGCTCATGATACTCCTGCATGGGAATAAGATCTTCGACGACTGACCTTACTATGGTTCTCTCTTCACAATACAATGAAGCAGATCACTCAAAATCTGCGGTGCTGATCATCGTCTGTTCTTGAGCCGCAGGGGGTGGGGGCCATGGAGCCTGACAAGCTGCACGGCCGTCATTTTGTTTCGAATTGATAGGCTCTGGACAGTAAGCCGTGGATGCATGGGCAATGGTCAGTCGAGCAAGAAGACTGAGCCTCGTGTTCAAGTGTTGTAGCCCCTGGCTTGTTCTGCACCTCGTACCTGCGGCGAACCTAGGATTCTGCGCGTTGACCGACCACAGCGTTGATCTAGATTTCTACCCCACTAGCTCAGGCTATTGTCAGTGGATTCTTCTGGTGATGACAAGAGGAAGCACTTTTTGACCGTTCTCTCTTACCTCACGCCAAGATCTGCTTGGGACATACTTCTTTCCAAAATTTGTCGCTCCGGTACCGGTATGCTGCGCGAAAAAGTTCAATGCGAGCAATCACAAAAGCACTATACTGATTGATTAGACGCATACTAAAGCATTCTGCAAGAGCTGTGCAGGAGACCCCGAGTTTAAAGGGGAGAATGGGGGCCAGGTACCAATCCTGCGGTGGCTATGCCGTAGTGTCTGGAGTCGGCCCCAAGGATGAAACTGCACGGCTGGCATAGCAGGATCAACAGCAGAGACACCAGGGTAGACTTGCCCATCTGCTGCATTGATGGAGACTAACCTGCTGATCGGGACGGCCCTGGCTATATAAGTCAGTGAAGACTGCTCTCCAGGACATCTTTCCTCTCACCACAGCACTCCACGCTCTTTACTCCACACTCCTTATCCCACACTCTTTTGCAACCCTCAAAGATGACACCACCAAAAGCAATCGCTCTCAGTCTGCTGCTCTTGAGCTCCTGGGCATCGGCGTCCGCCATCCCCGTCCAAGCTCGCGCTGCAGCATCCGCCTCTGCCGTAGCTTCAGCCTCTTCAGCCCAAGCAACTTGCGGATGGACATATTTCCTGAATGTCGACAACACTTCCACCGACGATGACGACGCCGATGGTGGCGAGGATGATTCGACCACTACCACCAGCAAGCGCGACGAGCATGAGCTGCATCAGCTCGCCCGTCGAGGCCGCACCACCAACAGTTACAACAACGGCAAGTGCGCTCTGGGGACGAAGATCTTCAAGCCGCAATACCCCGGACCTGCTACCCTGGAGTCGGTACAGGAAGGCGCATTCCTGGGATATTATATCCCCAAGCTGGATCAGTGCCCAGCCGGAGCGGTCACTTACGATGTGATCACCGATAGTTCTGTGCTTACGGACACTGTTGCGGCCTACTGGGACTCGGCCAATGCGGGCACAGGCCAGAAGTACATCGCTCTTGGGGCCAAGGTCACCCCGACCGATTCGTACATCAACGTTGACCATGTTTGTAAGTGCCAATGGGCGTATCGGCCTGCGCTATCTACCATGCAGTACGCTAACCGAGTCCTTCAGACGAGTTGAAGATTGTCGATAGCTTCTTTTCGGCCATGATCGCGAAATATAACTTCTGTAACAGCTTCAAGACTTTCTTCCTCACCCAGGATACGGAACACCCTACGGCGAATGGAGTCAAGAGCCGACTCCAGCGGCTATACGGCCTGGTGAGTGCATCATAGGCTACATGCAAGAAGGCAGCACTTGCTAATGCGCTGCTTGCAGCTACCCAGTAACACATATCTGGACTTCGTCGCCATGGACAACCAGCTGAATAGCATGAAGGCGCCTGTAAGTTGATCGCAATGCATGTTTCTTTGATTCAATAATTGACTATCATAGATGTTCGACGAGAACCTCAGCGGAATGCAAACCCCCAAGGGCGCAACGACTGAAGAGGAAGCCAACAACGCCCTCTCCATCATCAACACCATGGCCACAGTGATTTCGCTCCTCCGCGACAACAAAATCGCCGAGGTCTTCAAGACGACGAACAAGCGCATCTACGAGGCCTTCCTAGGAATCGACCAGCTCACCACTGGATGCAACGATCCGATCCCCGGCAAGGGCTGGGCCGACTCTTACTCGAGTTGGATGGAGGAGTTCCTCTCCACGCAGGCGACCTCGGTCTCCTCGCGGCTTGCCTCCATCTCAGGCCAGGTGACGCCCACCACCGACCCATCCGGGCAGAAGAACGCCTTGGGTCAGGGGTTGGATGCCTTCAACGCCAAGTACCCTGCTGCCTCGTGGACCTGGGATGCCAAGCAGCTGCTGGACTTTTCGGCTCCCAGTGCCATTGCGTTTGCTAAGCGCGGTGCTGAGAGCAGCGTCGCTGCCTGCACGCCCACCTCTTCCGTTTCTGCTTCATCCAGTGCGGTGGTTACGACCCATGCTGGATCCTCGGCTGTCGTGACGGGTGAGCTCTGTCCTTCACAACCCTAATCATACTTCTTTGCTAATGGATCACCCAGCCTCGCACACTAGCATTATTGTGACCTCCAAGGCAACCACGCACACTCCGGAGAGCGATATCTCAAAGACTGTGCACGCCTCGACGACGGTGAAGTCGGAGACCTCCAAGCCGGTGACTACGCACACAGTTGAGACACCAGTGACCACCAAGCAGCCCACCACCACCAAGATTGCGCCCAGCTCGTCAGTCACCACCACTTCGACCACCTCGTCGTCGCACACTTCATCTCCGACTACCTCGTCCTCGACTTCCACTACTTCTTCCACTACTTCTTCCGCTCCTTCTACTACTACTATTACTACTACTTCCTCCGCTCCTTCCACTACTACGACCACCTCGACTACGTTGTCCACCACCACCACTACTACCACGACTATTAAAACGACTACCACCACTACCACTACCACTACCTCCAGCAAAACTACCACCACCACTACCAAAACCACCACGACGACCGCCGCGGCAACCACCAAGGCAACCACGTGCAAGACGGCATCTCAGTGCCCCAAATGCGGTCTCTTCTCGAAGGGCAAGTGCAGCGGGGGGTAAGTTCATCATTCCCTACTTTCCATCAGAAGCGGAGGCTGACTCTATTCATCAGTGTGTGCAAATGCTAGCCGAACCCAAGTTATTCGATAGGAGGAAGGGAGACTGTTAATCATGATGGATGTAGCAAACCAGGATTATTTCTTCGAACATGACTAGACTTTCATTCCTGCCTGTGGCAGCGTGTATTAATAACTTATCGTCTTCGCATTCCTTCTTCTCTAGAAATTGAGAAACCGCGAGGTACACAACTGAATCAGTAGTATGGTAATAGATCAGGCCTTCTCCGCAGCAATCTGCTTCTCCAAAATCACCCTCAACAGCCCCTCCACGTCCTCCTTCTCCATGAAGACCTCCACCCACCGCAGCCCCTTCCCGTTCTGGATAGCATCCTGCTGTAGTGCCTCGTCCAGCTCCGCCCAGTTGTTGGCCGTGAAGCTATTCCGGGCGCCGTGGCCTTCCTCCGCCCCGAAGAAGTCCGCCGCCAGATGGTGTCGCCACCGGGCCACGTCGTTGTACGCCTGCTTCCGGCCGTGAATCGCCCGCTCGATCGTGTACCCTTCGTTGTTGAGCAGGAAGATCACCACGTCCAGCTTCTCGCGGATGATCGTGCTGAGCTCCTGGACGGTCATCTGCAGACTGCCGTCGCCGATGAAGAGGACTGCCCGGGTAGGCGTGTTCGGGTTCAACTCGCGTTGCGCCAGCGCCGCACCCAGGGTGGCGGGCAGCATGTAGCCGATGGAGAGCCAGGTGATGGCACCAAACAGTCGCGTGCCCGTCGGGAGAGTGAAGTCCCGGCCGCCGTAGCTGGCGGTGCCGGTCTCCGTGAGGACGACGTCGCCCGGGCGGAGCAGGGAGTTGACGCGCCGGTAGAAGTGTTTCTGGGTGATGCGGCCGGTCGGCGGGAGGGATTCGGTGGGGATCACGGTCTTCTGGGGCGGGTTGGTGGGCTTCGAGATGCGGCCAAAGTCGAGGCTCTGCACTAGGCGCGTAATGAAGGCGGGCGACAGGTCGCGGTAGGTGTCGTCGCCAATGCGCACGGCCCTGTCGGTGAAGGTGATGGAGGTGGCGGGGTTGGGGAGAGTTTGAAAGCCTAATGTGTTGGTGTCGGTGGCGTGCAGCCCGAATTCGAGGATAAGATCCGCCTGGTCAAAGTAGGTTTTGTGGTTGGGGTCGCCCAGGCGGCCGGCGTAGTTGCCGTAGACGTTGGGTTGGTGTTCGTCCACCAGGCCTTTGCCCGAGACGGTAGTGAAGGTTGGCCAGGAGGTTTGATGCACGAGGGTATTGATTTCATCAAGGATGCCGATGGCACGACTCTCGCCGTCGACGAGGATCAGAGGTTGTTTGGCCGTGTAGATACGGTCAACGATGCGGGTGAGGATGGTACTCTCTTGCGCAGTGGTCGGGGCAGCCGGACGCTGGATGTTGGTGGTAAGATTGGCGGCCGACACCAGTACGCCTGGCATGTCGTCCGGAATCTCGATGTAAACTGGACGGTTGTGGATCAGCGCTTGCTGCAGCACCGTGTCAATCTGCTCGGGCACGGTGCGAGGGTCGTTGAGATTTGTCTGGGCAATGGTGACGTGGGCGTGCATGGCGGCAAAGCGGCGGTACTCGCCGTCGGCAAAGGTGTGATGCACCAGGGCGCGAGACTCCTGGGATGGTCGAGGAGGTGTGCCCACGATGTGCACCACAGGCGCCCGTTCTGCGTAGGCACCGGCGATTCCATTGATGGCGGACAACTCTCCGACTCCAAAGGTGGTGATCATGGCGGACAAGCCGGCTAAACGCGCGTATCCGTCGGCTGCATAGGCGGCGTTGAGCTCATTGCATGTTCCTACCCAGTGTAGCCCCGAGGGGTCGACATAGTCCAGCAAGCGCAAGTTGTAGTCGCCGGGGACGCCGAAGATGGACTTGACCCCGAGCTGCTGTAGTCGGGTGAACAGATAGTCCGCCAAGGTGACGGTTGCGCCATCGGATTTGGTCATGGTGTTGAAATGATGGCAAGGATCAGAATGCGGAGAGGGAAAGAAATGAATGAGGGAGGAGGGAGGGGGGAGGGGGGAGGGGGTATGGTCCTTAAATTGAGGCAAGTTGGAGATGGAGGATGGAGAACAATGCCGATGAGCCGAAGCCACGCGATCTTATCGCCGATAACGAGGGGGAGACGGAGACGGGGCCCACCAAGATAACAACCAGGGGCTGAGAGAGAAGGCGAAGGCAGTAGACAGCCTACAAAAATTGTCAGTCGTTGTTCTTGTCAGTTGAGCGAGTAGTATCCAACTGAGGGTCAATAGTTTCAGATGGGATGAGAGTGGTGTTGACAAGGTAAAGGTGAAGGTGGAAATTGGAGGCGACCAGGAGCTTCCCCGCTCAACCGCGGCAGTTTCCCCGTGGAGCAGGCGGTGTCAAGCCCGGGCCTGCGGTGCGCTTATCGTCGTTCTTTATCGGCCCGCTCTGTCTATCACGTGTTGTTCCCCCTCTCTGGCCGTGACTATCCGACATCATCCGTCCTGTCTACGGAGACCGCTTGCTCTACCGCTCTGCCTACCGCCGTGGACTAGCTAGCTGGCTCCGTGCAGCCGCCATAGTCTACAGAGAAAAAGCCGGGTAGATACTTCATTCCTGAAAACTAAATGAGCTGCTGAGCTGCCGAGCAGACACGCTGGGAAGAATTATCTTAATATACAATGGAGAATATTACCATGACTCCTAATGGTTGAAACCGACGACTTCAGACCTCCTCCCGTTCGCTGGCAGTGCTCGAGTTGGTCAAGCGGGAGCTATCAATGCGGATGACCGTGGTGGAGTGGATGCTCGGCTTTTGCTCCATACTCTTCGTCCTTGACCGGTCAGAGGAGGGCACGGAGAAGACATTCCTGCGCCAGGACAGATTCCTGCTCCACTCGGGCCGGGGCAGCATTGTGAAGAGGGGTCGCATGTTGGAGAGGCAGGCGGCCGTAATCCCCATCATGGGTTCGATACACGTCCAGACACTTGCAGTGACTTGGTCATCTGTGACCCGATTAGTATGGGATCGAGGTATTAGGATTCTGTTCAGGGGGGGGGGCAGCTCACAGGTGATATCGCCGCCTGCCTCCGAAAGCTGGACCATCACCACCAGCCGCACGATGTCGAAGGCAAGGGTTCTGCAGGTGTCAGTTCTGGTACCTTGCAGGCAGAGATAAGATGACGTACGTGGTACCAATCAGGAAAATGCCTGACAGCATGACCTTCTGCGACCTAGGGACCTGTAGATTCCAGACGGCTTTCATTGGCAATACGAGAATGATTGCGTCAGTCAGGATGTTGGGGATTTGAAGACCGTAGTAGAACTGGGCCAGGTTGATGCAGCCTCCCGGGAGATTGGGCTCCCAGAGCTTCTTGAACGGCATGCAGGTCACGGCGCCGATGAGGCAGACGCCGAAGCACCAGAGGATCACGATGCACGCGACCACGTTCGAAGCTTGCATCATCGGACGAATAGAGAAGATTCGTTTGTAGAGCGCGAGGATGGAGAGTTTCACGAAGGTGATGCACAAGGTGTACAGGAACGTGCCCGTCGATAAGGTCTATTGGCGTTGAAGTCAGTGCATTGATTCCGACCATACCAGACTAGAGGGAATCACCTTCATGTAGACCACAAGCTGCTCGGGCGATACGTAGATGATGTGAGTTCCCAGTCCGTTGTACAGAACTAGTTCCACATCAGCAAGCAATCTAACTGGCAATGCAACCACAATTTGTTGACATACGAACGACTCCTGCGACCGTGATGCCATATTCGAAGACCTGTCAACAGTTGCTGGTCAGCATTCACGAAGATACAGCTGCAGTCGACGCTCTGCCACCCACCAAAGCAACGATCATGAGGTAGTCATCCAAGAAGACCTTTGTGCGAGTGATACGCCGACACCACAGACGCAGGCCCACGGCCAGAGTCGACACAACCAGTGCAAAACAACTGGCTGTGATCACCACATGTCGCAAGTTATCATGGTCGTACCCCTTCTCGCCCTGCGCGAGTGCCCTTTTCATGATGTGGAGTCAGAATTTGAGGATCAAGCCGACAGTCAAGCAGTAGAACGCGAGGCAGTACAGTAGGCCCCGGGCGTGTCAGGGGCCTGCTGGAAGTTAATGTACGGGCAGGCTTGGTATGAAGGGCCTCTTACTGTGGTGTGGTGAGCTCGCTTAAATCGAAGCCTGCTTCTTACAAGTTGATATCATTTCGCGGCAGTCGCAAAGTTACGGCAGCCATTGCTCCGCAATGCAATGATTATCTGACGATAAGTGCCGCCACCATAGCTCGACAGGAGGGATTGATCACGCCGATGCGGCCAGATCTACGGCTCCAAGACTGTCATGTTGTGATCTGTCAGGAGCATAATCTACCTGGAACTCCTTGCCGAAGCTGAATGATGTCGACTCCTGCCGAGGATCGGCGATCCTAGCACTGTATCGGGTCTGTGCATACGGACATATCAGATTCTGCAAGAAGAGACACAACGGGACCGATCATCACGACAAACCAATCAATCTCGATGATCGCTGAGCGTGCGGTTGCTAGCGATTTTGTACCCTGATTTAGGTGAGTTGACACTCACTTGAGGATGTAGACCCAAGGGCCTTCCTACCAATCCAATTAGGGTTGCCTCGCCAGTGCGTTTAAAATCTGTCTACTTTGAAGGAAGTTCCCCGGGAATGGACTCGTACAGATCATCGTGGCAGGACCCCTGCATGGATCTTAATGGCTACAGTGTGTTACAATGTGTTTTAGTGCGGCAATGGCCCTGCGACTCTTCACGACGTTCACGTCTATTCATCTTCAATGTGGCAGTCTCATGCAAGGGATGGTGGACTGACTGGCATTTCCTGGAATTCATTGTCGATGTTGGCACCTGTTCCTGGCATGATCGCCCATTCTTATTTCAACGGTACTGAAACAGGAAAAGGGGGGAGGAAGATAGTTCCGAAGAGCAGCAGTGAATTGGTGCTCTCTTGAGCTGAAGTGGCCGTCTTTGCTATTACCAAATTGAGAGACGAGATTCTTCACTGCACTCACTCTCGCCCGAAAGCTGATCTGACCTCTTTCCGTGATGAAGATCCAGTCAATCATGGATGAATCACACGTCTCTACCCCTACCTCCTATTGCCACTGGTAGAAATCTTTTCGATGACCAGCTTGACCAGTTCTCCCCAGTTCTCCCCACTGATTTCCAGCTGTGTGGTTCGATGAGCTGATCGTTTGCGTCAACAGTGGACTGAACTTTCGCTTCTCTATCTCATGAATGACTGCAGCGGAGAGACCGCATTTCCGACTGAGGAATCAGGTATTCGAGACTGAGTTCCTCCCCAGAACAACCGTGAACAGGATACTGCTCTAAAGCATGAATGCTCTTGCAGGCCCAAGACATACACAGTCCAGTATCAGGACCGGGTCTCTGGAGCATTGAGTTTCTAAGATGGCGCATGACTGGTGAAAAAATGCCACATCCCTACATTTCCAAGTACGGTCCAACATTCGCGCCTTTCGAGTTGCCTCCAGTCCCCCGGATATCAAGAACCTTAGAATATGAGGCTCTTGCTTGGAAAAACACGGGAAGCGAACCATGGGTGTTCGTGAGATCGAGCCCGACGACATGCGCCTTCGTCGTCACCACCCAAACTCTGAACCAAAGACAGCTTCTCCTGGTGCCGTTTCTGTGGCATCTTGCTAGATCAGGCAAGAGATATTGTTTACATCAAATTCAGAGGGCTGCAGTTCAATTTGCTGAAGTGAATATATGATCCCTGAGATGCCACTCCAGCTCGTTCCTCGACCTCAATCGCAAGACGACAGCGAGAGCCACCACTGACGAGATGACTGGCGAGAATGATTCACTGAAGTTTACTTCTGCGAAATGGCCCTGTACCTTGCCACTATTTGATTTCAGCCAAGTCCCTGCGCGGCGAATGCTACCGGAGTATCTCACACATGAAGCTCAGGTCTTCCTATCCAGTGGAATGGTGGCTGCCTTTCGTTCTCTAGTGCGCGAGATGGGTGCTACTGAGTTCCATGGCCACTTAGCGGTACTGCAAGCCCTTCTAGCACGGCTCCTTGACATCCGCGAAGGCTGCATCGGGGTCGCAGAGCCTCAGCGTGAAGGGCAAAAGGAAGTCCAATTGCTTCCCCATTGCTTCAGCATCGCACCTCAGGACACGATTACCGAAATCATCCACCGAGTCTGTCAGACTACCCTGGAAACCTTGAAGTATGGGCCTGGAAGGGTGAACGACCTCCTCTGCCATCCTTCAGGGTCACACTCGACCCCTGAGCATCCTCTATTCCAGGTGCAACTCATCTATCAAGACCACCACGCTGGAAACCTCTCTCAGATCTCTATCGAGAGGGGTGCTGCAGCTCCCTGTGATCTCGTTCTATGCTTGACCCGGCAGCGTGATGGAACTGCCAGCATCACCCTTCGTTCCCCAATCTATTTGTACTCACACGAGAGTCTACATTTCCTGCTACGAGCTTACATGCGCCTCTTTGAGTCTTGTGTAAGGAAGCCGAAAATTTCATTTGCACAGCAGCACTTATACGATGAGAACGACGTTATGGCCGGGCTGATATTTGGGAAAGGGCCCTGTCTAAATGTCACAGATCCGGCCACACTCTCGAAGCGAATCGAGCGAATGTCGGTCGCGAGGCCTGAAGTGGTTGCCGTCAAGGATGTGGACGGCAACAGCTTCACATACAAGCAGATGCAGCAGCACATTCAACGCGCAGCAGCCGTCCTTCACAGGAATGGGGTTCAAGCCCAGGGCTATGTCGCGGTATGTTGCGAGCCGACCCTATATTCGGTCTGTCATCTCTTGGCGATATGGCGCATCAATGCCATCTATGTACCGCTCGATCCGCAGAATCCCTTCGCTCGACTCCAATTGATTTTGGACGACTGCCAGCCCGCAGCAATTATATACCACGACCCAACCGAATCGGTCATCAGGCGACTGCATCTTCATTCGAGTACCCCGGTCTCCGTTGCCGAGATTTGCCTTTCCCAGACCCAGGCGTGCCCTGACTTGTCCCTGTGTGAATCTGCAGCCTGCGTTCTCTATACTCGCAGATCCACCGGAACGCCCAAGGGAATCATGCTCACGCATGCCAATCTGCTGCACCAGATTCTGGGAGTGCGCCATCGGTTTCAGATCAATTGTGAAACTGCGCTGCAACAAAGCTCACTTGGATTCGATGTCTCACTTGATCAGATGCTTCAGCCTCTGGTGGGGGGCGGCACATTGATTGTCGCCCCGCGCCGTCTACGGGGAGATGCCATCGCGCTCTCTCGACTGATGCTGGCCGAAAACGTCACCTACACTTACGCCACACCATCTGAATACATGATGTTGCTGCGGTACGGATCAGATGCTCTGCAACAACTGTCCTCTTGGAGAACTGCCTTTGTGGGAGGTGAAGCCTTGCCACGACATCTCATTGAGTCATTTCACGCCCTACAGCAACCTGGCCTGCGGCTCATCAATCGGTATGGACCAACCGAGATTTCGATTTCGAGCTCATGTCTTCCAATCGATACGTTCGATCCTGCCTGCATTGATCTGCAACCCATCAGTGTCGGTTGGTCCCTGCCCAATTACTCGACCTATATCATCGATCTCGACGGTGCGCCGCTGCCCGTAGGGTTCACTGGGGAGATTGTCGTCAGTGGCCCGGGAGTTGCCAGGGGATATTTGAACAAAGACGCCCTTACTAAACAGAGATTCCGACCGGATCCATTCGTGGACACTCCAGACAAGAGTCGCGGTTGCACCATGTATCGAACCGGCGATAAAGGCCGTCTGCTCCCTACTGGGGAGCTTGTGTATCTCGGACGCATCGACGGTGATCACCAAGTCAAGCTACGGGGCTATCGCATTGAGCTCGACGACATTGCCAACACGATTTTGAAGTCGGCAGATGGACGACTTGCAGAGGCAGTGATCTCTGTGCGCGGCTTTCATGACGCCGAAGGGGACCGTCGCTTTCTGACAGCGTTTGTCGTCCCTGCCTGCACGCAGGAACTCGCGGCTGTGAACGAGATGCTACAGTTCCTCGATGAGCTCGTTGCCAACCTTCCACTGCCGCCATACATGTTACCTCAAGTCATCGTCCCAGTCGATGGCCTGCCCCGGAACCCCAATGGCAAGCTGGATCGACGGGCCGTCGACCAACTACCATTGCCCTCCAGGAGGCAGCCTGCCATGTCTCCCACGAGCTCAGATTCCGAACGCTTCGTCATCTGGATCTGGGAGCAATGCTTGGATCAATCCGCTCAGACAGCCGTCTGGAGTTCAACGAGTGACTTCTTCCAAGTCGGGGGCAACTCCTTGTTAATGGTGAAGGTGCAAGCCTTCTTACAGCAACACATGAAGCGAACTATCCCTTTGTCCACGCTTTTCCAGTCCAGCACCATAGAAGACATGGCCGCCTTGCTGACCGGTGCGCCAACTCCGCCACCCGAGTTCAACCTCGATTGGAATCAGGAAACCCTACCCGGGCTGGAAGAGAAGTACATCTGCGACGGGAGGAGCCCCCAACCCAGTCCTCTCCATGCGGATGGAGGCATTGAAGTGTGTCTGACCGGCGCGACTGGATTTCTGGGCTCTGCACTACTGCGATGCCTGGCGGCCGACCCTCGCGTGGCCCGCATTCATTGTATCCATCGCCGTACGCCGTCGTCGGTCGCATTTGCTGCGGGCACGGCCAAGGTGGTCCGCTACAAGGGGGATCTCACCGCGCCCAGACTGGGTCTGGACCGGGTCTGTTGGCAGGAGCTGGCTTCGCGCGTCAGCCTGATCATCCACAACGGCGCCGATGTCTCGTTCATGAAGTCGTACCGATCCTTACATCCGGCCAACGTGCAGTCCACCCGCCGCCTTGCCTGCATGGCATTACGGCGTCAAATCCCGCTCCACTTCGTCTCCACGGCCGATGTGGCCCAGTTGACCGACCTGGACTCCCTACCGCCTCAATCTGTGGCGCACTGCCTGCCGCCCGTGGATGGAGCAGACAGCGGCTACGTGGCGTCAAAGTGGGCGAGCGAGGTCTATCTGGAGAAGTGCGCGGCCCGGTTCCAGCTCCCCTGTGCCATCCATCGGCCGACCAACATCGTGGGCGAGGGCATGCACGGCACCGATTTCATGCAGGGTCTCATTCAGTGGTCCTTGCGTACACTCCAGGTCCCAGCCCTCCCCAACTGGACGGGCTTCTTCGACTTTGTGTCCGTCACGGATGTGGCGATGGAGATCACGCAGGCCGCTTTGCGTAGTCTGGATGACCGACGCAAAACCCCCGAGCTGAATGAGTCGCCAACCTTCCATCATCATGCCAGCACCACCCCGGTACCCGTGGCTCTGTTTCAGGATTTCCTGGAGGAACGCTTCCGTGCGCCCCTGCAGACGGTGGATGCAGATACCTGGTTAGAGCAAGCGCGCAAAGAAGGCTTGTCCGGTCTATTGGAGAGCGTGGTGGCTGCGACGCTCACGGACCCTAAACCACACCGTAGGCCGCGCATGCTGCGCGAGTGATTAGTTTCGAACTGGAGGACTGTCTAGAACTTGGAAAAAGAAAAAGTGTATTTGTCTAGAAAATGTCAACGCTGGTTGGGTGGTGGTGCTTGCTGTACAATTGCGACCGTGGTTTTTACATATTCTGCACGCAAAGAACCATTCATTCCCCGATGTCGGGGCGTCTTGTTTGTCTCGTCATTCGTTTCATATCCACCTTATAGGGTCTACAAGCGCGCCCGCTCCTCGGACGTCAAGCGACGGCGAGGCGGTCCACCGCGACTGCCGTCTCCCGAGGCAATGGGACGAGGCGCTACGGGCCACGCCCACTTCTGGCGCTGCTCCACCGACGCAGTCAGCTCCAGGCTGTCCGCGACGTAGCGGCCCAGGACGGGAAGGAACTTGAATGCACTGTTGGTGGTGGTTAGCAGCGGAGTTCCTCATCCGTGACTATACTTTCTGTGCCTCTAGGGAGCATTCAGAAGGGTAGGGTAAAACGTACTGGCCACTTCCGCCCGTCGCAACGAACAGACCCTCATAGTCGGGGTGGTAGTCGACGATGAAATCGCCCCTGGGGGTGTCGCTGTACCAGCACAGTCGGCGCTGGACGAAGGGCCGGTCCTTAAAGCGGGGCAGCCACAGCTCCAGGCCCTCGCGCAGCGCCTTCTCGGCATCTGGGGGCAGGTAGCCGCCCTGGCGCGCCAGCGACGGGGCCGAGTAGGAGCTCGGGTTCTGCGGCTTCGCTTCGTTGGTGCGCTCGTAGCCAAACCCGTGGCGAGCGATCTTCAGCAGGTGGGTTCCCGGCGTCGGGGGGAAGGTGAACCACCCGGTGCTCAGGTCCAGGATCACAGGGCAGCGGTTGTTGTCAAGTTCGCGGGCCTCGTCGGCCGTGAGTTGCAGGAAGGCCACGGGCTGGGCGACAGAGACGGAGCGGCCGGTCATCTCCAGCAGATGCGGGGTCCAGGCGCCCGTCGATACCATGACTAGGTCAGCAGAGATGCTCTCGCCGCTGGCCGTGCGAACGCCGGTCACCTGCTTCTTGCCGGTCGTCGAGGTGGTCTGAGTTAGGAGGTCGGTAACGGTGCCCTGGGGCCCGGCACGGAACGAGACGCCGGCCCGGGTACAGTTGCGCGCCAGATGGCCGATACTGAGCTCGGCATTGGCCCAGCCAGAGTCCATGTTGACATAGCCGCTGGCCTGCGAGAGATCGCCGTGGATGCCCGGGTACTGCTGCCGGATCTCCGCGCCCTGGAAGGATACCAGGTTGGCGGCCTTGCCGCCTAGCTGCTCCATGTTCTGCTTCGACTGGGCGATGTACTCGTGCTCGCCGCTGCCTTGCGTCTGCGTACACATCAGGCCGCTCTGGTAGAAGTACGGGGCGTACTCGCCGTGCCAGCCGTTTTGCAGGGCGTCCAGCGCCATGCGGGCGTAGAAGACATCGGCATAGTCGGCGCGGATGATGCGCGAGACGTCGACACTGGAGCCATCGGGCACGGGAGCCAGATGCCGGTCCAAGACGGTGATGTTGGTGTAACCCCGACGGGTCAATTCCAGGGCTGTGGACAGACCGAAGACGCCTGCGCCCACAATCACAATAGCGGCCGATTTGGAGGGAGGAATAGCCATTTTTGCGGACAAACTGGGAGGACGGTCAAGTGTGCTTGTATCTGAAGGCGAGGATCATCCAGGAAGGGCAGTGTATTATTATGTAGACCACCTGGAGGGCGTGGCCTGTTGCCATAGGGGAGAATTTTTCAGGTCCGAAGGTCGGCCACATCGAAAGCTTGGCGGGAGGAGTGGGCACGGCTTGATCCCAATCCGTCCCCACTCCTACACCGGCCCGGATGCGACAAATGCGGAGGGGGTCCCATCTTGTACGTAAAAACTTACAACTCCCCGTGGCAGTCGGGAGGCAGCTGCGATGGACCCTGGCCAAAGTATGGTACGTCGAGGAGACTGAAAAAATCGCTATTCATCCACTCCGACGACGAAGCCAGCACTTCATCCTCTCCCCTCAATAAAGACCGGTTCGGCGGGGACTCGCGCAACGGCACCAGGTGTTGCGTGGCGATCTGCTGGCCACCAGGCACAAATGCTAGGTGGGTCTCCTCCACACTGCTATGAGGTGAGTTTGGGTCCAGCAAATCCCACATCGCCGACCATTTGAAAGGCGGAATGCTACTCGCGCCAGCGCTGTGTCCTGACAGACTTTGGAGATATGCAAGCTTATCTGCCTATTTAGCCCCTGTCAGCACTGTCGTTGACTTTGACCATATTTCTTTAAGGGGAAAAAAAAAAAAAAAAGCTCACCGTCCCAGCAATGTGTGGCCATCGGGTCCCTAGATCTGCCAGAAAGCGTTGGCATTGCACGAAGTCCTCCCGTGCTCGGTCGGCGATGGCTTTCTCGCTCGCGAATTGGAATATCCAGTGAATAGACGCAGCGGTCGCCACCAGTTGGGCGAGAAAAGGGTCGTTGATCTCAATCCCATGCTTCTCCCACGTTCGGATCAAGCGCGTTGGCCAACCCGAGTGAAGCAGGGCTTGGTCTATGGTTTGTTGGAGGAAGGATGGCGGTTGGAACTTGGACGATGCACGTCGCACATGGGTGACATGGAACAGAGGATGATGCAGAAGGGCCTGACCAGCGTGGAAGGCCACCTGCAAATAAAGCCAGGCCGTCCAGTACTCCTTGTGCTGCAGAAGTTCGCTGGAGGTGATGGTGTGAAAGCCGACGTTCCGATATCGGTGCAGCTGCGAGATCCCCGTCTCGAACTCGTAATACTGCGCAACCAGCGTGTGATGGCGGGAGGAAGCGATCCAGGGGTCGTCGGTCGGATTGGCCAGACGCTGTCGCAGGTACCCCAGAACTTCATACCATAGTCCAGTCACTTGGAGGCAGTATGCTTGTATCCCTAGGTCTGCAGCACTGCTGGCAAAGGCATTAGGCGCAGAGCCGTCATCGTTCGCCATGAGGGAGCGGGGCCGTGGGGGGCTGACAGGATACCCTACACGCCCCAGCGGGTAGCTGTCGATATGCAAGAGACTCGGGCCGGGGGCGAAGACCCTTTCAAGCATAAACACACTCCAGCAACACCGCGTTTGATCATCCCGCGTCGATGCATACTCCGTAGCGGACCCTGCGCCCGTGGGGGACACACAGAGGACCAACCTAGCCGCAATCCCAACGTCCATCCAGACTCGTGCGTGTCGACCGGCTAGGGAAGTCAGCATGGCTTGTCGGTTCAGATATTGCAAAAGACCTCACCAGCAACATCACTCAAGGTTAAAAGGCACAACGCCTGCAATACTGGCACCGATGGAGTGCCTTCCGCAGCCAGTTGAATGACCGTGGGGCGAGCGGACCGGAGGTAAAGTTCGATGGCTTGCGCTTTGGCGTCACCGTAGAAAGGCAGCTCCACGAAGAGCAAGGTGAGCGCCAAAAAGGCCTGCAGGAGGAAGTCGGGAAAGTGTCGGATCTGAGCGGAGAGTCTCTCTTTGTCGAAGAGAGGTAGTGGTTGGCTATGTACCTTCTCTGTGTACACGTTCACTAGCCGGGTTAGAGCTTCTGGTGGTGGATACAGGCTGTTCCGATGATTGACTTGAGTTTCAGATTCCAAGGTATCAGGATCAAGGGCAACCAGTCAGACGTACCACCGTGATGGGTCAAAGGACTGGGGCTGTGGGATGCCTGGGGCCGACAGCAAGGTTTCGGTTTGGCCCTGCAGGATCCGGTGTAGGAATGGTTGAGCCTGAGGGGAAGGCATGGCGTCTTGTGGTGCACGATCCGTCAGTGTCCTGTTTCCAGATGGTCAGTTCAGCCAAGCGGGCCAAGACACGAGCCCGGCACGTACTGAAAGAATCCATCGATGCGTTCGAGTCGCGATTCCAGCCGTCGAAGCCGCTCCCGCGTCTCTTGTCTGGACTGTAGCAGATTAGAGTCGGTTAAATAGTAGTGTCTGATGGTGTCAAGGGAGGATCTTACCTCGGACGAACGAGTGGGTGGGTCACTACTCCGCCCGTAAGTGCATCTCTGATTCAAGCGGCGACAGAAAGAACATATTGGTCTTTCGCCGGGACATTTGGTCTTCTTCTTCCTACCGATACCGGGGATGAGTTGTGAATGAGGTCATCTCTATGGTGGAGTGCCGAGAGTCTTACCGACAAGGTTCACAGGCCTGTCGGGCGCGTGGCTCGGGGGTGAGGAGAGGACTAGCCATGACTGTGGCGGTGATGAGGGAAGATCAAGAGAGAGAGAGAGAGAAAGAATGTCTGCAAGTTTGTGAGAATCGAAACTTCGCCTTACCGGACCGTCCCTGGCTGCCAGGTGGGCTACGGAGTACCTCTGCATCAAGCATGGGGGGATGCTGCAGCCAATGGCCATGGAATCAGTCTTCCGCTCATGTGACTGGATCCCTATCAAGGAGACTGGAGTCCCGCTCAGGTGACCGGCTCGTCGTCCAGTGCCAAGCGTTACAAGCATGGCCCTTCAAGCCATCACAGCACGACTCGGAGAACAGACACACATTATGTGGCAGTTATGGGACCATGTAGCTGGGATAACGATTTACTAGCTTCTGGCCAGGTTCAGGGGGTATATGTAGAGGTTTCAAAAGAGAAGAATAGAAAGAAAGGTATAAAAAAGGGAGGGGTATAAGCCGGTCGCCTCGGCCTAAAAAAATCAATGACGTCCTAGGAGAGGATCGAACTCTCAACCTCACGATTAACAGTCGTACGCGCTAACCAATTGCGCCACCAAGACGTGCTTGTGTCATGACGGCTCAAACTACTGTCCATGAGCAATAACATAGATAATGTGGTCATCCACTATGACACTTCCAAAGGCTTGTTGTCAGTTCACCATGCGATACGTAATTCTAGAAAAGCCTTGGATGCTTATGCTTACGGTACCCTTGACTCGGCCTTGAAAACCTAGGTAGCGAAGGTACAACTCCTATCCCCTTCTCCACACAGGATGGTTTATGGTTTATGGTGATGTGCAACTCTTCCTTCACATATATTTTCAAGCATCCAATTGCCAGCTCTCGACATCGCCCGCAATTCCGATGAACGCAGGCACTACAACACTAGAAACCTTATCTGCAGAATGAGGGCTTGCATATTCAGATTTCAAATTAGTCCAAGCTGCCTCAAGGTATATGTCACGAGCTTGAATGCCGTACAGAGCCTCCTGCAAAATGGAGTCCAGTATGCATGTAGTCTCAGCCAGTGGCCTACAAAAGACAATACAAAGCCGTCACTTGTTTGCTTAGGCAGAGACGCAGAGACCGAGTCTGTCTAAGCTGCACCCCGCATTGCTAACACAACTGATGTGTATGCATGTCACCCTCAGCTCAAACCCCGACGAACGCCGTGTTATCACAAGGTCCGCTGAAGCATAACCGACGAATGCGCCCATACTTTGACACATCAAGAGTCACGCAGAAGCATGTTTGCCATTGGCAAACATCTTGAAGTCGAGATGATGACAACAAAGCATCGTGAACAGGACTGCTAAGCCCTCGTGTGATCAGTCCGACTCTCAGCTGCATCCAGCCTCGTTCAGGTGCTCTTCAGCTGATCCAAGAGGATTTCGCTGGAATAAGCATCTACCGAAATGGATATAAGGCAGACTCTCATCCTTCATGATGGGACAGTGTCATTGCGATCAGGCACAAGTGCAGCAACGCGACAGATTGCGACCATTCATCATCTACAACTCTCTGAGCTACCCTCTCAAGATGAAGATCTCCCCCGTCCCAATCAGCTTCATCATTCTCGCTGCCATGGGTGTGGCTGCTAGCCCGCTCGACCATGCCGAAGCTGTCGGCGTGAGAAGCGAGAACAACGTTCAGGTCAAATACGATGGAGTCAGTATTCCACAGCCCTGTCACAAGCGAAAAAGACCAAGACTGACCAATTGACTCTGACGTAGCAATGTCGGAAGAGTCAGAATCAATGCAGATACACCGCGCAAAGTGGAAGGACTGCTATCTGCAAGTGCCAGTTCCGAAAGGTGAGTCCGGCTTGTCTAAGCTTGGTAGTATCTGTCGACTGAGTCTTTTGTAGTGTAGCAAGGACGGTGCCAGGTGCAACTTTGACTCTTACAATAACGATTGCAACTGCTACTAGTGAGTTACGCATGACTGGCTCTGGGCGATGTTGATGTGTATCTCGTGGAGTCATACGAGGCGCGTGATGGAATTCTCCGCTGTTGAAGGGGGTGGGAATCACTGGCTGTTGCTACCGATTGCTTTTTTTGATTCTTTGTCCTACAAATCGAGGGTTTTAACTTCTCCCGAGAATGATGATAGTCGAGTTCAAAACAGTAGACCGTAGCGACAGCTTTACATCGACTATTGGTCCTGACTGCACTGCACTTGCTCGAAAAGCAGCGATAAGGAACAAGCTCTTGCACCTCACCATGACACTACCGCTGTTCATGTCTGATCCTCCCCAAGCAGAGGCTTCTCAGGCTCATCCTCACGTGCCTCGATGTCTTCCTCTTCAACCAGCATCTGCGAAGCCCAGAACTCAGGCCACTTGACCCGGATAAAGTCGTCAGGCGCGGCCTTGTACGCTCGAGAAACGGGACTGTCCCGATATTCGAGCGGGTTGAGCATCAACTCCAGGGTAACCCAGGCCTCTTCGGCGAGTTTCGTCTCCTGAGCCTGTGTTGCCTGCTCGTGGATCTGATCCACTCGCTTGATCCAAAATAGCCATCGCTCTGCACTAAGACCAACGGGAGCCTTGCGACTGAGTTCCGTGGCCTGAAGGAACAACGGACCCCCGCGGCCCAGGGATGTATCGCACGCAATCCACGACACATCACACAGGTTGATCAATCTTCGTCCACACTCGAAGATCCACGCGCGGATGGCGGGGAGGAAAGCGGCGATGGGCAGGTCGGACAGCGTCTGAGCAGGCCTGGAGGAGTCAGGTGGATGATTGAGACTTCCCAGTGGACGGTCGGTCTCCAACGCCTCGCGGAAAGTCAACAGACCGACCTCGGCGAGTCGGTCTTGCAGCAACCCGGTAGACGCGACTTTGGCCACAAAATAGGTGAAGTTGAGTCGACGGTCGGCCTTCATCGTAGGAAAGTGCTGGATGAAGTATGCGGTCGTGTCCTCAAGGAAGAAGGGCACATCGCCCCACAAGACCGCTCCTGTCGGGCTTTGAGCCACCTCGAACTCGTGGTCACTGACCTGCACCAGTCGCTGTAACGGTCCAGACAGGTGGAGCCGAGTAAAATCCAAGACCATCCGATCGTGCTCCGGTGTCTCGTGGGAGATGTTCCGCGCCCAGACATGGAATGCGAACCAGAGATCACGAATGGCTGGTTCCAGCTCCTGGAAGGACTCCCCTTGCCAGAATCTGTCTGTGATGCCGTAGTATTTATTGTAGACGGAGTCGCGCAGCTCCGCCAGGCGCCCACGTCGCACGTCTGCAAGCAGAGACTCGCGATACTCGATTGAGGCCTGAGCGCTCGAGTACCCGCTGTCTTCTAGCTCGCTCGAGCGCTCCATTGGAGAATCGGACATGATGCACAAAGATGTTCAAGCGGTCTTTAGGGCGGCGATCGTGCTTAGTGATTGCAGGATGAATGCACTGATCAATGACGAGATGTTCGGTGTAGCAGCTGAACAATGCCGCTTCTATATAAATACAGCACACACATCATGTAAAGCTTTAGGCAGCCATGGATGGCCCAGCTCGTGAAAAGTTTGTAATAAATAAAGGGAGCTCAATTCACCGCTCCCCGGCCAAGTCATGACCTTGAGATCCCCTGTCAAGTCCCTGCCACGTCCTCCGACTTATATGGTGCCAAGCCAGGAGAGTGACATCGTCTCGTCCTTCGGTTCGTAGGGCATCCAGGCCGGTTGGTGAGGCTGGACGGCAAACATTTGTCGATGTGAGCCACTGAAGCCCTGCAATACATGGTCTTGAGTAGTGCACAGAGTCCAACCAGGATATGATGCCAGGAGACCTGTGTAACTGGAATGACAGATAGCTGTCGTATCGCATCCCTTCTCTTTGTTTTGGCTCCTTGAGGAGACCGGCAGATCCTCACCGCCTTTGGGTGCCTCTCTCGGCAATATTCTTCTTCCGTGCCGGTGTAAACAAAGATGCGATGGCATAATAGTCTGGGAAACAAGTCTAGTTCTATCATGCTATGCAGAAATTCTATCTCACTGATGCCATCCACAGTCCCCTACAAAGCCAATCGCTGCTTTGACAACAAGATCGACGTGTCCGTTGTCGCCCCGTCGATAAAGTCGTTCATGATCACGATCGTCCGCTCCGCCTGCAGTCGCTCCAGCGCGTTCTCCCGAATCCACGGGAGGGTCCGCGTATCCAACGCGGCCTTGGTCGAGGTCAAACACGACGACACCGCGCCCGCCTCGACCACACTATAGATCATCACCTCCTTGATGGACTGTGAGGTGGCCTGGCACTGCAGCACCGTCAGGTCACTGCTCTCCTGCCCCTCGGTGGTCATCCCCTCGAACCGCGCCAGAATCGAGTCCGCACTCAACGTCGCGTACGCCTCCGCCGTCCAGCTGTCGTACTTGTCCGCCTCAATCACACAAATCAGTCGCTTGCCAGTGCTCCGAAGCTCGTCGATTGGCTGACTGAAACACTCGCGGCCGCCCCAGGTCAGCGGCTGAACGGCGCCCGTAGCACATGCCTCGGTCAGCAGCTCCCCAAGCTGCTCCTCGGTGGGTCGCTCGCAGTCGGCCACGATGTTGTCCCACCGAATGTGGATGGTCACAATCTCAGTGGGATTCTCATCCAGGAACGCCACCTGCGCGCGGAGGAAGGCGTCGAAGGCCAGCCCCGGGATGCACGCGTGCTGGAAGTAATACGTGTCAGGGAGGGAGGAGATCTTCTGGAAGATGGGGAGGAGCTTGGCCGGTCGGAACTCGAAGTACCGGGCGCCCATGGTCAGCATCACGGCGATCTCCTTCTTCTGGGTGATGGCCAGGCCGTAGACGATGTGCGGCAACTTCTCCATGAGGAACCCGTCGGGGATGTGCCGGATGTGGGCGAGCATCGGCACAAGCTCCCGCACGGCCGCGAGCATGTCCCCGTTCAGATGCTGGAACACTGCGTCGCAGCTGTCCATGCTGTTCATCCCGTTGTCGTGCGGAGCGGCGAGGGCGAAGCGGGAGAAGGGCTTCTGCGCCTCTAGGGATCCGACCGGAGCCAGATCGCCCATCCAGGCGCGGTTGCCCGTCGAGCAGATGGTCACGTAGCACTGATCTCGCTTCGTTAGGCCGACCTCCCCGCGCCCCGCGTTGTAGAAGCCGTACGTGATGATGGCATCCTCCAGGACGATGGGGTGGAAGTCCTGGGTCGACACCATCTCTCCGCCGGTGAGCTTGCCCGTCAGGGTACTGATGTCATTGTAGGCACTGGCGACGAGTTCCCCGTACCGGAAGACCTTCCATTCAAACCGACCGGTGAAGTTGTCCACCCCGGGGATGTTGCCGGCCTCGAGTTCCAAGCGACGCGGGGTGAAATTCTGGCCCGGCGTGTGCAAAACATCCTCTCCCGGGATGGAGAATCCCACCTCGTAGCCCTCGACGGCGGGGGAGATGTAGCTGTAGACTGAAATTCCTTTGCTTGGCATCTTTGCTTATATGGTGGCCCAGACCGGAAACGCAGGCGGCGATGGTGCGAGCTGCATGATGGGTGATGGCTGGGAACTTGGGCTTGGGATACGTGGACACAACGCTCCAGCTCCACTTGCGCACTGAAACACTTATCCCGACCGGGCTTAATGAGTGTGAACTAAGACGGGCTAAGGGGGACTAGCATCGATTAACATTGCCTGATTGAACTAACGCATTCCAGTGAAGATATTCCCACTTTCCCACGCCCTGTGGTCCATGCGGGATCAGGTGATTGGCCCTCGGGGTGGTCCGATTCAGGGCTGGATCAGCTCATCGATGGAGTCTACTCATCCTTCAAGGACTTGATGTGATGAAGATGGAAGATCAGATTGCAATTTGTTCTCTCTGTGATACATGCAAAACCTACATACTCACTATATGGATATTATCAGTTATATCGATGATTCAAATCAAATCAACTCACCCACTCCACAGGTCCCGCCCGACTACGTTCCCAGAATCGTAGATTCAACAAGTCAAAAATCAACAACAAGAGAAATAGACAACAAACCCCGAGAGCACAACACCGGATAACACCACCCATGCTTGTGGCACTACTTCTTCTGCTGTTCAGCAGCAGCCTGTGCAGCCTGTGCAGCCTGTTGTGCCATAATGTCCACGTAGACATGGCCCAGAGGTCCTACCTCTGGGCTCCATCCCCCATGCTCGACTCTGTACTTGTCATTTCCGTCCAGCACCTCGACGAGGTTGACCCAATTGCCCTGGCGGTTGTCCCAGTGCAGCTCGCAGATCTTGTCCTCGCCGTGGAAGAGGTCGAGGCGGCCCTCGCTGCCGCGGCGGCCGCGGGCACAGATCTCGCCGACGCCGTAGGAGGGGATGCGGAGCTCGTCGACATCGTCTTCGGTCATGGATTTATTGGAGTCGGGGTCGTGGAAGTCACCACTGCATCGGAGTTAGCTATGCCAGCTGATGGATAGAAAGCAAGAAAAGGTAAGACGAACCCCTCGATGACGGTGTGACGAACGGAGATCTCTCCCTTGTCGAGGTGGTCCCGGATGTGGAACTGCACCCATTGAGAGTTGTACTTGTCCATGGTAGCTGAGTCCATGATGATGGTCAGTGTGTGTTTGTGAATTGGTTGAGATACGGTGGGCGAGTTGGTAGATTAGTTAGACGAAGGGAGAAGCCCTCGAAAGCTGTGAGAAGAGAAAGAAACGGGCCTGGAGAGGGTGAGGGAAGGAAGAGGGTTATATAGGGTTGGGACTTGGGAGAGGACGGGGAAGCCCGCAAATGTTGGCCCGGAACGCTGGGAGGTGACGAGACATGGTTCTACCGTGGACGAGGCAGAGGACAAACAGCGAAACAGACGATGCGAAACAGGCGATCCCTCCCTGTGCTTCTCTGTGCCAGTGGGGGAAGGGAATCAGCGGATCATATGACGGATGGTGGTGGTACGACCTGGTTGGTTCTTCTGTGGGCTGATCCTCGGATCCAGTCTGGCTTTGACTTTCAACGAGGCGAATCTGGGGGAGAAGCAGAGCGGCCTTTGTCGTGCCCTCTGCATTGAGTTTAGCAGCTGCGTGAAAATTGCGGGGTTACCGCATGGCTGCATGAAGATGGTCGCGTCATTCATTTATTTGACGTCCATTCATTGACTCTATTGATTGTTTGGATGCATCGCTTGCTTTCCCTTCCCGTCTTCCCTCCCTCCCTCCCTCTCACCTCTCCCAGTATCTCCCCTCCCAGAGATCATCGTTGGGTCCCTGGCTGATCGATTGTTGGACACAATGTAACCATACTCTTGATACAGTGCTACATGTTGTTTACGGCTTGGATGCTCAGTCTGAGTGCCTCACAGCTACGATGAGGGTGGTCTATCGATCATCCGTGGAGTATAAGGACACCTCCACCGCTGAAAGGGACTGCACGCCGGGGTCTCTCGCAGGTCGACGAGTTAGGAAGAATGCAGCCGTCTGGAGGCTAGGAGCGAGCCCACTGGCCACGACACTCGTATCGCGGGCTTCAATGGCGCGTTTGCATGTATCGACCTGGCTAGATGCTGGCCGTCTTCCCTCGCTCCCTATCACATTGTTACACCTGCTTCACAGCGTTGTGGGATGTCCACGAGTCTATCCACCCCTCTTAGATGGCAAAGGAACAGTGCCATGCTTCTGTTCCCAGGAACATGGACGGATGAGAGATGTCGGTTCACGTGGTGGTTGAAACCAGACCATCGTGGTGTTTGACACCAACCGCTTGCTCGCGTGACCGAAAGTTCGATGAGACCATGGGAATAGGAGGCGGGGGGGCCTTCAGTAGCCCGCATAAGCATGACGCGGTGAAGTCTCCCATCAATGGCCAGTGGCCAGTGGCAACTTGTCTGGAAGATGGATCTTTTCTCGACGATCGGGGGCCCACAGGACGAAAGCATTCGCCTATGGTAAAGGGTCCAGGCGGCCAAGATACGCTGACGGTGGCAGATTAGTGGTCGATCGTTTCTCAGTTTCTCATTCCCCGGACAGGACGGGACCTTTGTTACCGAGAGTGAAATGTATGAGTACAGTGAAACGGGATTCCTACCCCGCATTCTGCGGATGCATTGATGCATTCAGAGAGACAAACAATAGTCTCCCTGTCAATGGACGGGTCACGAGGGAGTCATCGACCCTCCTGTCATGACCTCATCCTGTCCGGCTTATGTAACCGGCCTGGAGCTCCCCCCGCATTTCCACCTTTCCACCTTTCCACTTCACCAATCCGGGGAAGCTATCGGCCTTTCGGCACATGGCATAGATCATTGCCTACTAGGTATAGGTACGGTCGCTTTTCTTCCTACCTACCTAGATACTCTTTGAAGATGGTTATTCTTCTCCCGCTGGCAACCTCCGCCCCAAGCGGGAGATAACTAACCGCGCATCAACGTAGCCGCATCCTCATGCTCCCCGTCAAGGTGCCCGTCAAGGTGCCTGAAAAAGACTTCTCCATTCCGTGCGAATACATAGTAGCTTGCTTGTTTCATCTCAGCTTGTATACAGAATTGATGCATGATACCTTCCCATTTGGCCGTGGTATTTGTCTTGCCGTGCCGCTGCCCGCGATTTGGCAATACCTATTCTGCCTAGTAGAGTTTAGCTGAATTATACATATTATGCTGTCATGATGAGTAATATCGGGCATAAATCTCTCTGCACGAGATCACCAATATCTCAATGATATATTTTGTATATCACTATTCTTGAGGGAATGGCATCATATACTTTGTCTTTCGTTTCTTCTCTTTATTCTTCTTGGTTTATACTCAGTACATGGGTATAGCTACATCTCCAAGCGATCTCGGAAACATCCATATTCCAGACCGAAGTATTTACACATTATGTCGGGGAGGAGCTACTATCGCAGGCTAGTAAGTTAATTAAGTTACTGCAGTGTCATTTAGTGAGCAATATACCTCAATCACGCCTGCTCTCACTGCAACCAGTAAACGGAACTACTACAGTCTTTCACCTCCTGTACCGCCCGTCTATTTAAGTCCCACCATTCCCCCTTGGCCGTCATTCCCTCTTTGACCATCAACACACATCAATCATGGCATTTCCGATTCAGGACTTTCATATGCAGCAGGCCTTGCTGGAGAGGCAGCGCCAGATGCGGCTAGCTCAATTCGCAGAGAAACAGCAGCAGACATTAGAAGTGCGGCGGCAGGCGCGACAGCTGTCAGGACTACCACCGCAGCCACAGCGGCCGGTACAACAAAAGTTCGGTCCATGTGTGCCTCCACCGGTTCAAGACCCAGCCCTGGAGCAGGTCTTGCATGAAGAACTGCGCCTAGTAATGCTAGCCCGACAAGCGGAGCATCTGCAGCAGAATCAGCCCCAACAACTCCAGTCGCAATGGCAGCCGAAACAAGGACCACCCCGACCACGATCCTTGGAAGAGTTGCAGGCATTTCAGACCCAGCTCCTGGCAATGGAGCCGGACGAGCGTAGGCGGGCGATTGAGCGTCGAATGGTCGAGCGGAAGGCACAACGACAGGAGCAGCAGCAGCAGCAGCAATATCAACACCAAAAAGAATCCGAGCAACCACCGCAGCCACAACAGCCACAACAGCCAGTACAACAGATACATCCGCTCCACGGCCCCTACGGGGTGTTTCAGCTTCAATCTCAGCTTCAGGACTTTCGAATGCAGCAGGCCTTTTTGGAGATGCAGCGCCAGATGGTTCTAGCCCGATTAGAGGAGCAGCAGCAGGAGCAGCAGCAGCAGCAGCAGCAGGAGGAAGGACAGCACGGGGCTCCCAATGTCTCCGGCAGTCCTGCAGTCAAAGAAGACACGATCGGCGATACCCCCTCCCCCAAGGTCCCTGTCCATGTCTTCCAGGATTACCAGCTTGGGCTCACACTGCAGTACCGGCGCGTGCAGCTGCAGCGCGCCTACCGGCAGTCGCGGGTCGAGCACCTGCTGGCCCGGCAGGAGTCTATGAAGGACAGCTACGCGCAACTGCTTCGATGGGGTCTCGAGCGGTCATCGCCGCGCACAGAAGACGAGGCGGAGATATTGACGGACCTGAAGCGACTGCTGGAAGCCGGGTTGGTGGCGATTCAGCGCGCCATGCAGGAGCCGCCGACCGTCGAGCTTACCGACGAAGACCGGCAGCTGGACCTCCAATTGATCCAGCTGAATCGATTGCGGTACGGGGTGAGAGACAAGCACATCGCTGAGGGCTTGGTCGACCCTGACGAGGGAATCAAGAGGACGATGAACACAAGGCTAAGCTCCGAGGGATTCGAGGATCTGAGGTTGCACTTGGACCGTCGGCTCGCCTGACCGGACTACGCCGCCCTTCCTGATGGGTTATTCTGTACATAACAGTGAGAAGTGGAATGGACAAGTGAACGATACGGAAACAATTCTCCACGAACTACTATCCCCTGATGGCCTTGTCGGTAATCAACGACTGGGATGCACCGTTCCAGCAGCTGGCGAATCTGCGAGCTGAAGCAAGGTCAACACTGGCTAGCAAAACTCAGGGCTGCGCAGATGCCTGTCATTACAGCTTTGGAGGCTCAGTCGGTCAAACGATGCTTGCTTCAATTGGGAGGCGACATTTCTGTATCCAAAATTCACTGCATATGAGCCGCGTTTCACGGAATATGCATGCATAATTCTCACCACTAAGATCATCGCATGCGGTTCTGCCCATACCCACAGAATTCAACTTCCCTTCGAACTATCATCAGAATAGTGCCAGACTAATCGGCACATAGGATAGGTTCGATATTAGACACATCGCCAGAACTCGACCGAAATGCCCTGGAGTAAGGGCCAAACCGCATACCGGAAAATGCCTCTGTACCGCGTATCAGGCATCTCATCCGTCATCAAAATTCCAGCTGGGATTTACCGAGGCCCCCATCCACTAATCAGGCTGCCTGTCTGCCGATAACGTGGCATCAATCTGCCTTCTCAGTGGTTCCCCCAAATGGGGCCTTTGGATCCTTCACCGGCCGCGCAGGGTGCAGGATTCGCATTCTTATCGCAGGAGTCATTAGCGCGGGCTCCCGACAATCTGGCGACGAATGGCCGGCTCGGAGTGAGGGCAGTGGAACGGCGAGGGATGCTTAGCTGTATATTTTCAAAAGTATGAAGAGTCTTGCTCGTGTGCCGGTCTGCTTCCGGGAGGGTTTGACCTCGAGTCTCGTGAGATTAGTTCATATATAGCCGCAATGTTGTCCCATTGAGGTGAAAGGATCTGTGCCTCTTTCCCTATTCAACAAGCAAAGCTATCAACCACAATGCTACGCCTTCTCACCCGCGAACTTAGCCTCTGCTACGGCTTCGTGCGGAGGGATTTAGGGACCGGCCTCCTCCCGGTGCCGTTATTCACCCTGAGCTCGCTCCTGTACCGTCGCGCACCACGCGCAGAGATAGCTCCAGCCATCGCCCGTACCGGTTTCCCCCCCCTTCTCACCCGTCCCAAGCTAATCCATCTCCACTGAGCAAAGAGGCCTTCCTCTACGGCTTCCTCTACCTCTACACCTTCGTTGTCTCCAACCAAATCACCGGCGTCCGCGAGGACCGCGTCAACAAGCCCGATCGTCCCATCGCCTCGGGGGCGGAATCCCTCTCCGCAGCGAAGACCCGCTACTGGCTTCTTACTGCCTTGTATCTCGTCCTGGGACACTACCTTGGTGTGACTATCTGGACACTTTTGTGGATCGGCACCACGATCGCGCACAACCCTTTGGGGTTCTCGAACTTCGGGCCCACGAAGGATCTGTGCATGGGTCTGGGGTGTATTGCGCAGTTGAAGGCGGCGTGGACGATCGGTGGAGCGGCCGCGGCCATGGGATGGTACTGGATCCAGGTGATTGCCCTCTACATGCTGTGGCCGATTCCGTTGCAGGATCTGCGCGATGTTCCTGGGGATTTGGCGGCGGGCCGGCGCACGACGCCTATTTTGTTGGGGGATTTCGCGGGTGAGTTCGTCCTTGACCCCTTAGTATATCGTGAGTTTTGTGGGTTCAAGGTGCTTCGGTGCTGAGCATAGTGCAGCGCGGGTGTACATCTCGGTGGGCATTGTGGTGTCGCAGGTGAGTTGTCCTTGACCTTTCTCCTGGCGTATGGGAGGAGTAGGGGCTGATTTCAGTTGATAACGCAGTACTTGTTGATCTACCATCGGATCTTGGAGTATCGATACGACACTTCCACAGTTGCGACGGCGGTGGCGCTGGGGCTGATGACGATCGGGTGCATCTTTCGGCTGTTCGCCTTCCGGTCGCTGACGAGTGATCGGTTCTCGTACTGGCTGTATACCGTCATCTACGTGTGTCAGCCGCTGGCTGCATGCGTAACCTTGCGGTGAGAGATGGGGGGACTGAGGGACTGAGTGGGTTGCGATGTGGGCAAAGTGGTCGAGGCGGCGAACGAAGCATGGCAAACGTTCCGTATGTGTGGACATGGACCAGTGCACTAGAAAAAAGAGAGGTTTAACCAAAATAATCCTAGATGGACTCACAGGTTCCGGGATCTATGCAGCCTTCACAGGTGCGTGCTTTGCCTAATGCGCTTGTCGCCTGCAGAGTTGATGCTGCAGGTTCCAAGGGTGGATCACCTGCGACCTGAGGTATTGGCTCTGAGAGAGCTTCACAGACCCTCATAACTTCATTAGACAATATGTATTATGGCCATAATCACATCAGTACGTAAGACAGTCGCAACAAATCTCCGCCTTCTAGAAACACAGTGATGCATCATTAGCTCCTCGCAATGCTGCCTTGCATCGATCACTCCGACTCCGCACTCGACAACCCCATCGTCGAAGTATCGTAGCCCTTCGACTCCAGGTACTCCCGGAACCGCACATCCTCATGGGTGATCGTGTCCTACAGCCCGTTAGTCTCCGGTGTCACGAGCTACATAACCATGAGAAACGCACCTGCGTGATATTCGGCAGACAGAAGTATGCCAAGAAGGCGCTGAAGATGCACAGCGCACTAGACACGTAGAACGGATCTTGCCCTTGGCGGGTCTTGTTGGGGGCGTTCCGGACGATGACGGGGAAGACGTAGGTGCCCACGAAGGCGCCGACCTTGCCCATGGCGGCGGCCGTGCCGTAGTACTGGCCGCGGATCGGGGTGGCGCAGGTCTTGGCCGCGCAGAGACCGATGTTGTCGCCGGGGCCGACTTCGCCCATGGCGAGGAAGATTCTGGAGGCCCACCGTATTAGTGTCCATGTACCAAGTGGGGTGGAAATGCAATGCAACTTACCCGTAAACGACGACGAAGGCGGCGACGTAATGGCTGGTGTCCAGGTACGGGTAGCAGCCCGTCATGATCAGGCCGATCACGCCTTGTACGAAGACACCGCCAGCCAGGGTGTTGCGAGGCCCATACCAGTCGCTCAGGAATGCGCCCAGAGCCGAGCCGGGCAGGTAGAAGACGTTGATCACCGTGTTCCAGCCGAGAGTGACCCAGAGGGGGGCGTCGTCGCCGATGATCAAAGCCAGCCATTGGGAGGAGTAGATACTGAAGGAGTAGGTCGAGAAATCGTACATGAACCAAATGAGGGAAACCGCACACTAGTTTCGATTGATTGTTAGCGGTGCGTGCGGTCAATGTGTGCGGCGCATGTCAGGCTTACCCAGCGCTTCCAGTAGAATCTGATTCAATGGGTTAGCATCGCATCAACAGTCGTGTGCAGGCGCAGGCAACTTACTTCACAATCAACCAGATGGGAAACTTGTGCATCTTCTCGCGCGTGTACTCGGTGGGCTCCTTGAGTTTCATCCGCAAGTAGATCAGACTGAGCGGGGGGATGACTCCAAGACCCAGACAGATGCGCCAAGCGGCGCGGAGATGGTTCTCGCCACAGGCCAGCACAACAATCATGGGCACCAGCGAGGAGGCGACCGAGGCCAAATCGAGCTGAAAATTGGTGAACAAGATAAACCACCGGTGTCGCTGGCCCTTCTTCATCTCTCCGCTGCTCTCCGCGGCGGCTACTGACCCGGCCGGATATTCGCCGCCCACGCCCAACCCCAGAAAGAATCGATAGACCGTCAATGCGGTGAACATCCCAGTCAGGCTGCCGTTCGCTCCATAGGCGCCAGCACACAGTGCGCCGAACACGAAGAGGATCACGGTAGAGACCATCAGGGTGTTGGTGCGCGACCAGTGGTCGGACATGTAGCCGAAGACCAGCATTCCCACCACCGTGCCGGCAAAGGCGATCGAGGAGACGTTCTGACTGTAGGTCGATCCCGCGTAGACGTCAGGGTAGAGCTTATCTAGCATCGTGTTGACCGTTCCAATAACCTATTGCAGGGATCCGAATGTCAGGTTACGTATTGAACGATGCAAGCCCTAATGATCGACTCACGTATTGCAGGTAGCCGTCGGACCAGAGACCAGCACCACAGGCAAAGGTGGGCCAACTGCGCTCCCAGAAGGTCTTCTGCGTCGCAGCCAAGGGATCGTCATCGAAGGAGCGACGGGTGTCGGGGGACACCGTCAAGTCCGTCTGCTTCTCTTCTTTCGGATCCATGATGAGTGTGCCTTGCCGTGGGGGGAGGGGAAGGGAGAGGCAGTTACTCAAAGGCAACTGAGTAGAAAATCGATGGTCAAAAGGGGAAGAACCGAAGGTGCGCTGCGGGAACAAAACCCAAGCAAGAGAAAGGAAGGGGGCAAGAGGGCAAGGACGGGGTTTTATTCCCTGCAGCAAGGAATCAGCCCTAGACCAGGAAATCTCCTCCCATGAGTTTAGTTCATGTTATTTGTTCACCAGTCACCAGTGGGATGCATGATGGACTGATTAGGCATTAGGGTAGGATCCTTCACTAGTTTTGTTGCACGGCAGGGCAAAGCAAAAAAGGTTTACGAGTAGCAGGTACATGATTTAGCATGTGACAGCAGTAATGGTTGGGAGTATCGAGTACCTGTTCCGGACCTGCAAAGGTTGGGGAGTGGCTCGGCCTCGCCGACCCGTACCAAGCTCATCGCCCTCGCCCAATCACCACCAGCGGACAGTCTCCCCGCAAGACCCCTCAGTGGAGTCGGATTTGCTCCTCCACCAATCCCACCCTGGCTCTTCCTCCCACGTGCAAATGCATCTGCCATTGACTGGGCCAACATTTCTTCTAGCAGAAGGATTCCTGCCCGGGTGAATGCATGACATGCCTGTCTTGTCTGCACCTTTACCATCGGATCAGAATGTTCATGGTGCCAGCCATTGCCCTGCATGATGTCTGGTGGCATGCATCAAAACATTGGAATCTTCCAACATGGATGAAAAAAAAAAAAAAACAAAAAAAAAAAAAAACATAGAT